CCGTCATTAAGTGTGAAAAACAATCCTGTCACTTTTTTCAGTGCCGTTGTAACTTTGAACGGTCACTAAACGAATGGCTGTAAGTTGAGGACTACCTGTAAAATCCTCCTTCCCAGCAAGCCGAATTCCCGGAGAGAACACAGAATTAAGAGTTTGAGGGTCTCCCAGAGGTCATCTAATTGAACCCCTTGCTTACGGAGTATCCACCAGAACCCTGAATTCAGGGAATTGAAATCCGTCTTCCAGTCGCTGAGACTGAGAAGCATCTCTGACAGAATATAAAGGAAGGGATCGTGGAGGTCTTCTAGTCCAACCCCCTGCTTGAGCAGGAGACTCTATGTCAGGGGTGTCCAACCTTAGAACTTTAAGCCTTGTGGACTTCAATTCCCAGAATTCCCCAGCCAGCACAGATGTGCTGGCTGGGGAATTCTGGGAGTTGAAGTCCACAAGGCTTAAAGTTCCCAAGGTCAGACACCCTGGATAAATGCCTGGATTCTTGAAAAACCTCCAGTGATGGAGCACCCACAACTTCTGAAGGCAACTTCCCTTCCGCCGATGACCGACGTGATCTTTGAAGCCCTTGAGGGAAGGAAAATCAAATCTCTTTTCATGGGGCAGCCCTGTTCCCCCGGCCAGCAGCTCCCAAGTTAGGAGATTCTTCCTGGTGTCCAATCTGAATTGCCCCCCTCCTGCCCCCTGGGTTCTGCTCCCACCTTCTGGGCCACAAACACACACACACACACACACACACACACACACACACATTCAGTCTGATGACAGCCACCCCATCTCCCTTCTTTGGGGGACAAGAAAGAATATTCCCTGATTAGGAAATAAGACCTGGAAAGTTGGATTTAAAGGCATTCTTTCCAAAGAGATCAGAGGCCCCTGATTTCTGGGCAGAATTCCTTTAAAACTATACAGTTTGAGACCAGGCTACCTGTGGTTTGTTTGTTCATCCATTCCCCTGTTCAGTGATTAATATTTATACGTTATTCACATATAAGAGTGTAGGTCTATATATATGTTGTATATGTTGTTGTTGTTAATTGCGAAGTCGTGTCCGACCCATCGCGACCCCATGGACAATGTTCCTCCAGGTCTTCCTGTCCTCTACCATCTTCTGGAGTCCATTTAAGTTCTCACCTACTGCTTCAGTGACTCCATCCAGCCATCTCATTCTCTGTCGTCCCCTTCTTCTCTTGCCCTCCATCTTTCCCAGCATTAGGCCCTTCTCCAGTGAGCCCTTCCTTCCTTCCATGTTGTATATAGCATGTTTAAATGTATGTTATGTATGTGTACACTTTGAAAGCCAGCAACTCAGTTTCATTTTTAATATGTGCCTTTGTGCCCACTGTAAAAAATGAGAATAAAGGTTATCTATCTACCTATCATCTATCAATCATCTATCTATCATCCGTCTGTCTGTCTACCTACCTATCATCCATCCATCTATCATCTATATCCATCCATCCATCCATCCATCCATCCATCTATCTATTGCTGAAAGAAAAGTCTTCATCATGATTCATCCAAGCCAGGGATAAACAACATGGCGACTGTTTTAGAAAGAAAGTTGCAGTTTATTGAAGAGCCAGACAGAAAGATGGTTCTGGCAGGAGAGAGGAGAGAAAAAAAGGACTGAGCACATGTGGGGAGTAGGTTTTTATACCCTCTGAAGCCTTTTGTTTGAAGTAGTTTCCTGTTCCTGTTTTAGGCTTTGTATTTCCTGTGTCACATATTCTGACCTGAGTCTGGGTATGCCTTTCTGGTATTCTTGATGGTGGTAGGTTAATCCTATTATGTCCCAAAGGTCATATCCTGCTTCCCTGGTGCTGGGGCTAATGACTCTTAGAGTTTGGGTGGGGTATGCAGATTTTAGGTGTCTTTGTCTTCTTGATCTCCTAGCTGGGGCCTTTCTGATGGTTTACATCTGCATTTGTACAGAGCTGGCTTCTGCTTGGGACAGAGAGACTTGGGGGCAGGGCTGGTTTCTACTTTTAAAATCCTTTTGAGGAAATATATTTTAATACTTCCTTCTCTGAGGGGCTGACTTCCCACAATATAGAATTGAAAATCAGAAAAGTTAAAGTTAACCAAGTGAAAGATGTAAGGGTTACATTACTCTTTCCCAGCTGGGTTTATGCTTTGTATCTTTCTTAAAAGTTGCAAGTATACTTTTTTTTCTTTTGTATCTTTCCTAAAACTTGCCAGTGTATATTTTTACTTTTGTATTGTTGGAAGAAAAGTCTTCATCCTGGTTCATCCAAGCTGGGAATAAACAAGGCAACTGCTTTGGGGAGAAGGTTGTAGTTTATTGGAGAGGAGAGCCAGACAGGAAGATGGTTCTGGCAGCAAAGAAGAGAGAAAAAAGGGGGCTGAATACATGTAGGGAGTGGATTTTTATACCCTCTGAAGATTTTTGTTTGGAGTTATTTCCTGTATTCTGACCTGAGTTTGAGTGTGCCCTTTGGCCTTTGTGAGTTAATCCTACCATGTCCTGTTCCAGGTGGGGTATGCAGATTTTAGCTCTTTGTCTTCCTAATCTCCTAGCTCCAACTTTCCTGATGGTTTACATCTGCATTTGTAAAGAGCTGGCTTCTGCTTCGGGGAGGGAGACCTGGGGCTATCAAGGAAACTGGGCATGCTTTCCTGCCTCTTCAAGATCCTTTGAGAAAATATATTTCCCTGCCCTTTTAATATTTCCTTCTCTGGGGGGCTGTGTTCACATAGTATCTTTCTTAAAACTTGCATGTGTATTCAAGGACTTTGAGAATACACTCTTTATTGTTTAGTTGCTGTAAAGATTAGTTCTCACATATTTAAAAAAATGGCCTGAACTCAGAACAATAAATGTTTTCTTGAAGTTCTAAAAGAGGCCTAGATTGCCAGACTAAAATGCTAATATCATCACCTTTACTAAAAAGCTAAAAATACTGAAGCCTAAATCCAAAGGTGCTTTTTCCAAAAGGCAATAAAATCCAGTTGCCTTTTGGAAAAATGAACTTGAGGACAACCGTGACCTGGAGGATTGAGAATCTCCATGTAAAATGGAAGCCAAAATTTCCAGATAATATAATTGAACATCAGTCCAATTCATTCCACAAAATATAAGCCTCTCCAATTTCTTACTGAAGGAAAATTTGGAGGAGGCCCAACCAAATCAACGTGGGCTCCATATTTTTACAAGAGCCTTTACAAAAACCCATTAAAATGTTTTAAATAACATTTGTTTCCTTATTTTTAACCATTTGGGACTCTTGGTGAGTTTATAGGCAAGAGCTCCCCACGCCACCCTTGTCAAGCGCATCCTCTTTCAACTGCTGTGTTTTCAATTTTGTGTATGGAGTCCGGCAAAGTTGTATTCTGTCGCCCTGCCTATTGAACTTATATGCAGAGCACATCATGAGAAAGGCAGGGCTAGACGAATCAAAAGTTGGAATTAAGATTGCCGGGAGAAATATCAACAACCTAAGATATGCAGATGATACCACTCTAATGGCAGAAAGTGAAGAGGAACTAAAGAGCCTCTTGATGCGGGTGAAGAAGGAGAGTGCAAAAGTTGGCTTGAAACTCAACATTAAGAAAACCAAAATCATGGCATCCGGCCCTCTCAATTCCTGGCAAATAGATGGGGAAGAAATGGAGGTAGTGACAGATTTTATTTTTCTGGGCTCCAAGATCACCTCAGATGGGGACTGCAGCCAAGAAATTAAAAGACGCTTGCTCCTGGGAGGAAAGCTATGGCAAATCTAGACAGCATACTAAAAAGCAGAGACATCACCCTGCCAACAAAAGTGCGTATAGTCCAGGCCATGGTTTTCCCAGTTGCAATGTATGGCTGTGAAAGTTGGACCATAAGAAAGGCTGAGCGCCAAAGAATGGAGGCCTTTGAACTCTGGTGCTGGAGAAGACTCCTGCGAGTCCCCTGGACTGCAAGGTGGTCAAACCGGTCAGTCCTAGAAGAGATCAACCCCGACTGCTCTTTAGAAGGCCAGATCCTGAAGTGGAAACTCAAGTCCTTTGGCCGCCTGATGAGAAGGAAGGACTCACTGGAAAAGGGCCTAATGCTGGGAAAGATGGAGGGCAAGAGAAGAAGGGGACGACAGAGGTGGCTGGATGAGTCCCTGAAGCAGGAGGTGTGAGATTCGATGGACTCCAGAAGATGGCAGAGGACAGGAAGGCCTGGAGGAACGTTGTCCATGGGGGTTGCAATGGTTCGGACACGACTTCGCAACTAACAACAACATTCTTTGCAACAATCAGGTGAGTCTCTTACCTAAACAGCCCTATTTCCGCACAAAGCCTTAACCTCCGGTGAAGTTCGCACCTCTCACCCCCCCCCCAGGAGCCTGCAAGGAACGTGGCATTTGCATTTCAACGAGGAGCCAATCAGGACACGCAAGGGGTCCGCTCATTGGCTCCCGGGAAAGCCCGCCCTCTCCTGCCTATAAAAAGGCCGCTCTCCGGCCCAGCGACTCACCTCAATCGGAGGAGAGATCGTCGCCTGGTCCCAAAATGAGCGTCTTCATCGCCAGGCCCGAGGATCTCAACTGCTGCTTCTGGGACATGCTGCTCCTCCTCGCCTGGGAGCCGGACTTCGAATTCCTGTGGGAAGCGCTCTCCGTCCAGCCAGAGGACGAGGATTCCTCCGTCGAGTCGCCTCCCCGAGCCGAGGCTTCCGTCGCGGAGACGTCGGAAGGCGCCCCGGGAGCGGCTGCTCCGCCGGGAGGAGCCCGAAAGGACGAGGATTTACCTCAGGCGGCAGCGGCGGAAGAAACGGGAGGCAATCCCGAGGGTAAGCCTCGAAAAGGAGCGCGGTTCGCTTTGGGCATGCGCAGAAAGCGGCGCGTGCTGAGGGGAAGGCACCGTTTTCCCTCGCTTTTTTTTCCCTTCAAGCATGCGTGCTGAGGGAAAGCTAGGTCCGAGGTTTTCCCCGGGCGCATGCGCTAAAGAGCTTGCCTGCTTTCTCTACTGCGCTTGCGCGCCTGCGTTTCCTCCCGGAATCAGCAGATCGTGCAGAATCTTTGCTCGTCTGAATGGGCTGTTTGGGAGACGCGCTTTGCAGCCGAAATGGGGACTGGAACGGAGGTCAAAAGCTCCTTTTTTTCCCCGTTGTTTTCCCTTCGATCCCTGTCCTTGCTGAGCTTCGCTGCCAAAAGCGGCATGGGTACATTTCTGCGGCGCTTCTGTCTGCCTGCAAGGCGGCTCTGGGCGGCATATAAATTGAATAAATCAACCAAGCCGTTTAAAAACTGTGTTTCTCAACCTTGACAATTTTAAGGCATGTGGACTTCAACTCCCAGAATTCCACAGCCAGCGTTGCTGGCTGTGGAATTCTGGGAGTTGAAGTCCACATGCCTTAAAATTGTCAAGGTTGAGAAACACTGGTTTAAAAACTGCTGGCTGGTCTTGCCTACCTGACCAACGACTGCTGGAGCTGCAGCTTGCCCTGTTCTTGTGGCAGTAAGTTTTAAAACCCGCCTTGTCTTTGCTGGCCTTGAATGGCCCAGGAATGTTATTGCAAATGGCCTGTTGGGGGTTTTGCATCGGAGGGGCAACGGGGGAGGGGGAAAGACTTGGGTTCTAATTCCGGGAGATGCACAAAAAGGATTTCTTTCAGCAGTTTGCATTGTTTTTTAGACCAGGGATAGGCAACCTTGGCTCTTTTATGACTGGTGGACTTCAACTTCCAGAATTCCTGAGCCAGCTATGGTATGCTGGCTTAGGAATTCTGAGAGTTGAAGTCCACCATTCATAAAAGAGCCAAGGTTGCCTACCCCTGCTTTTAGATACAAATCTCTTCCTAGGTTAGTAATGGCTATGGGGAGGTGGAGGGCATGGCTGCCAAGCTTCCTGACAATAAATGGGGCTTGTGTCTATTTAAGGAGGATAGTCCCTTGTTGCCACTTTATATCTAAAGTGTTTTAAGTGGTGTGGGCTAAGATTGTTATAACCAACATTGCTGCCCTGTTTCTGTTATTGCTGCCTGTGAATAGTTGCTGATGGTTTCTTTTTTGCCTCTGCTTCGCAGGGGAGGAGGAATCCATGCCTGGAGACCAAGCCGCCGGTGGCTTTTCACCCCATCCTGTAGGTCGGTGGTCTATACAAGCTCTGCGCCTGCTCGAGCGTTCGGGGCACCCCAAGATTTGGAAAGCGTACCACGGGGGCTTGCTGCTCTTCATCGCCTATCGAGGAAGGACCGGGTCCCCCTCCGTTTGGCCCATCCCAGGAGATCAGTTCAGAGGCTTTTTGCTGTCTCTGGATTCGGATGGGGTGTCTGCACCCAAAGTATTTACATATCTGTCTGGTCTTTCCTACCTGTCCCGCACTTTCCATGGCCAGGATCCGCTTTGGGACTTGTGCACTTCCCACTTGATTACAGGGATGAGGTGGCAGCGAGAACCTCCAATCCCTCTGAACCCGGAGATCCTGGAATTGTTGATGGGAGCCCTCGAAAGCGTCTGCGAGGGTTTCTACGAATGCCTCATGTTTCGGGCGGCGTTTTTATTGTCCTTCCACGGAGCGCTTCGCCCTAAAGAGATGGTGGCCGAGACCTTTATGACCTTCCATCCAAAACTCCTCTGCCTGGAGGACATTGACATGGAGGAAGACCGCATTGGCCTTAATCTGCTGGCCCCAGAGATGGAAGCAGGGTGGGTGACTTGCTGGTTGGGACAGTCGGAGAACCCGTCGCTTTGTTCCGTTCTGGCCCTCCAGAATTATTTGGCGGTGAGACCCCCAGGCGAAGGGCCTCTCTTTGTGTACAGCAACTCACGTCTGCTGTGCAGAGAGCGATTCTTGGAAGTTTTTCGCCAGGCTCTAAGAAGAATTGATCTCCCCTCGCGACGATTCAGCCTAAAATCTTTCTGGCTGGGTTCTCTCACAAACGCAGTACATTGCGGCTTCCCAGAGAGTGTCGTTCTGCATTTGGCCAGGTGGCCTTGCAGACCACCGCCTGGAGTTTGGCCAGGAGTTTAATGGCCATCTTAAAAAAAAAAGCCTGGAGTCAAAATTACATTGATGCTTTGGCTTCTCTTGCAAGTCAAGCCTTACTGTGGACTGTGCTTAATTCCTTTATTCTCCATAATTGCAACATTCCCAAGGAATGGTATCTTGGAATTATCCGTTTCATAAAAGGACTGGTTTTGTACGGAGACTGTTTATACAACAGTCATGACTTGGTCTATTTCATATTGAAACAATAGTCTGCCTTTGAATCTGAAATTTTTGGATGCTGTGCTGAAATTGACTCCTTTGATGATAGTGTATAATTTTTTAAAAAATTTCCTAGGGAAATAGCCATGTTGCCCACTGTGCACACTAGTTAAGTGTTATGATTTAGTGAGCTTAGCTGCAGGAAGTTTTAATGCTCTTACATTGCACAAGCAAACGCTTTTGTATTTCTCTCTGCAGAAGGGATGTGTTTTAAAGCCCTTGGTTCCTTAACTTGAGAAAGGAAAGGATTTGGCTGCTGTATTTTATACCATGTATTGAACCCAAATGTATTTGGAATATTGTTCCTGCAGAATCTGCATTTTAATTTTTAATTTTGCTCAATGAATGTAAACTATTTTCCTCTTTGCTACAAATGGATGATTTTGTAATGTTTGAATAAATAAAGTATATAAAACTTCAGTTTGTGTATCAAGAGATTTTCTTTTCTGAAGCTTTTACTCTCGTCACTATCTCAGCTTATTGATCGGCATAAATGTCTATGGAGAGTCAATCCAGGTCATGGTGGTCCCAAAGGTGCTTTTTCAAGATGCAACTGTACTTTGTTTTTCTTTCAGGATGTTTTGCTTCTCATCCAAGGCGCTTCTTCAGCTCTGATTTTCATTCTTCACCATCTAGTCAGAGCTGAAGAAGCTTCTTGGATGAGGAGAGAAAAGTCTTCAAAGAAGAATAAGAAAGTCCAGTGGCCTCTTGAAAAAGCATCTTTGGGATGATCAATATAACTTTTTTTTCCTCTTCTCCCTTTGATTTTTGATAATAATAATGTTGGAAGGGACCTTGGAGGTCATCTAGTCCAACCCCCTGCACAGGCAGGAAACCCTATATCATTTTAAACAAATGGCTGTCCAGTCTCTTCTTAAAAACTTCCAGCGTTGGAGCATTCACCGTTTCTGGAGGCAGGTTGTTCCACTGGTTAATTGTTCTGACTGTCAGGAAGTTTCTCCTTAGTTCCAGGTTGCTTCTCTCCTTGGTTAGTTTCCATCCATTGCTTCTTGTCCTGCCTTCAGACCCCTTGGAGAAGAGCTTGACTCCCTCTTCTTTGGGGCAGCCCCTGAGATATTGGAACACTGCTATCATGTCCCCCCTCGTCCTTCTCTTCATTAAACCAGACCTTCCCAATTCCAGCAACCGTTCCTTGTGTGTTTTTGCCTCCAGTCCCCTGATCATCTTTGTTGCTCAGGAATTCTGGGAGTTGAGGTCCACGAGTCATAAAAGACCCAAGGTTGCCTACCCCTGAGATAGAGGATGAATAGATAGATAGATAGATAGATAGATAGATAGATAGATAGATAGATAGATAGACAGACAGACAGACAGACAGACACACAAAGGCTGGCTGGGGAATTCTGGGAGTTGAAATGTGCCAATGTGAAGAAGCACTGGATTGGGAGAACAGGAGCCCCGGGGACCCCCTCAAACTGACTCTTCATCCCCCCAGCTGCTGGGAGGGTCCTCCACGCCCCAGCACCCCCATGCCCGGTCACCCCACCCTGTGCACTGGTTGCCCCATTTTCCCTGGCTGGAGCTGAGCCGTTTGGACATTTTGCGGCAGGAGAACGAAAACCCAGAGGCAAAACTGTGACAGAACCTCTACTGGTTTATTAGTTGGGGGGGCTACTGGTACATCGGGTGTCGAGAGCACACACACGGGCAGTGTCGGGCAGCCATGCGCTCCCCCCTCCCTCCCCCCGACCGGGCTGTTGCGGGGGAGAAAGGCTGCATCACAAAGCCACAGTTCACAGTGCGGAGCCAAACAGGCTGGTTATTGGTCCTCAAAGAAACGGAAGGCAGGCGAGTCGGAGGGAGGGCGAGGGGGGGTGGGTGGGGTAGATATGACCACAGCAATGACCCCAAATCTCCTGGACCCCCCCCCCTCCAACCTCATTCCTCTGTGGAGGAGACCCCTGCAATGGATTGGCCCCCCCACGTCCTCTGTGCAATGACACAAAACCTTTCCCGACGCAGGGGTCTCCAGCTGGACAACTTTAAGGCTTGTGGACTTCGACTCCCAGAGGTCCACGGGTCTTAAAGTGGACTAGAGAATTCTGGGAGTTGAAGTCCGCAAAGCTTTGAGGACAGAACCCCGGGAGCTGAAGTCCACGTGTCTTAAAAGGGGCCAATTTTGGAGGCCTCAATCAACTTTGGATCCTTGCTGGGCCTTTCCTGCTCACATACACCCTGTGAGGGAGGCCTGGGCTCTCCTCCAGTCTCCCTTCACTTGCAGGCTCACATTCCCCCCCCCCCCAGCCCAGCATCGGACCCTCCTCTGCCTTCTTTGCTGCTACGCTAGAAAAAGCCGGGAGTAACGGGGAGGGGGGCCGGGATGGAAAGCAGTGGGGGTGCCAGGGACCCCGAGACCTCAGCCCGGGCTAGTAGGCGTGGTCGGCCACATAGAGTGATTGTCCAGCCGCCCCGGAGCCGTCATCGCTGCCTTCGTACTTGCCGAGAGCTGCTTGACCGTTGACCTGCAAGACAGAGAGGGCTACTGGGGAGGGGGCCACGCCTTCCCTTGGGGGCCCTCCCCACAAGGGCCAGCCTTTTGCAAAGGGCAACCAGCTCTGCACCCCAGAAAGAGCCAGGGACCCCAATTAGGAAGCCCCCCCTTCCTGGGCAGTGGGGGGCATCCCTCCCAGGTCACTCACCTCCGCTCGCTTGAGGAACTCCTCCGTGGCCAGTTCCTCGTTCTCCCGCTGGCCCCGCCAGGCATTGAGCGCGGAGGCTTGCAGTGCCCGGCCGTAGGAGAAGGTCAGGGCCCACGGCCGGGGCAGCGGGCAGTTGTTGATGGCGTTGAGGTTGAGGGAGGCCTCCTCCTCGCTCTGCCCGCCGGACAGGAAGGTGATTCCTACAGGGGCCGAGAGAAGAGCTGCAACTTCCAGACTTTGGACTGCAGGGGTCTCCAACCTTGCCCCCTGGAAGACTTGTGGACTTCAACTCCCAGAATTCCCCAGCCAACTGTGCTGGCTGGGGAATTCTGAGAATTGAAGTCCACAAGTCTTCCAGAGGCTAAGGTTGGCGACTCCATTGGTCCAGCAGCATCTCTGGACCTGGCCAGCCTTTGCTGGGGATTCAAAGTGTCCAGCTGGATCTGGCCAGCATCTGGTGAGCCACGAGGCCCTCAGCCTGCCTGGATTTCTCTTGGCCCCTTCGAGGCATCGGACTTGGCAGCTGTCAATCCATCCTGTGGCAGCGAGTTCCAGGGACTCAAACAAGAAGCCCTGTCGTAAAATCATCCTGGGCTTATAATACAGCTAGTCCTCGCTGTACCACCACAAGAGAGCCCCAAACAGTTATTAAGTGAGTTTTGCCCCGTTTTACGGCCGTCGTTATGCGAGTCGCTGCCGTTGTTAAGTCAGAAGGCGGCAAAAAAAGGGGGATCGATCAACCTGAATCCCGGGACGTTGCAACTGTCATAAATACGAGTCAGTGGCCAAGCGCTCTGAATTGTGGTCACGTGACCGCTGCAATGGTCGTTAAGAGTGAAAACGGCCGTCAGTCCGTTGTTAAATGGTCACTAAAGGAAGTATTGTAAGATGAGGACTGCCTGAACTTGGAGCCAGTTCTGGTTTCTCTGGTGCCTCCTAGCCTGGGCCCGATCCTCAAGGGGAAGCGCCTAAGATGGGCGGCTTTCTTGGGACGGGTGCAGGGGTGGGAGGTTACCTGGTGGTGACCTTACCTGGCACGGCAGGCGGGACGGTCCGGCGCAGGGCAGTGACGGTGGCCATGGCGATCTCTTCGGGATTGTACTTGGTGGGGCAGGCGTGGCCGGGGGTCACCATGTTGGGCTTCAGGAGGGTCCCTTCCAGGTAGATGTGGTGGTCACTCAGGGCCTTGTAGACGGCAGCCAGGACCTGGGCAGAGGGCCAGAGCCAGGCTGGTCAAGCCCCTCAAAGGGAACAAGGCCCACCAAAGCCCCCCCCCAGCTAATTAAAGGGAGTGTCACCAAAATGCTTCCAGTGAAGCCCGATTTTTAATCCAGCTTCTGTGCAATAAATGACCGAAGGGTTCAGCCTTGTTGGCATTTTACTCTCTGCTTTACAGAACTGCCCATTGGCTAAATCCACGTTCTCAGAACTCAGAGCAACATCATGGAAGGTGCCTCCCTTCCGTTTATCCCCCCCCAAACCACCCCCCTCCAAGATGGCTGGGGCAGAGGACGACAGGCTCAAAGTCACCCACTCAGCTACCCCTGCTCTCCTTCGTGCCCTCTTTGCCTTGTTCCCACTGACAGCCCCCCCCCCCCCGCCCTACACCCGCCCCCATAAGCCACGGTACCTTCTCAGTCACGTACTGGCACCGCTTCAGGTCGTGCTCCCCATCTGGCAGGATCTCCGGTTCCACGATGGGCACAATGCCGTTCTGTGGGGAGAGCCAAGCCCAGCACTGAGGCCCCTGCGGAGGCCAAAGGCCCGTCCCAAAGCCAGAGCGAAGGGGCCGGCGGGCGGGCGGCTCACCTGCTGGCAGATGCTGGCATAGCGGGCGAGCACGTTGGCGTTCTCCAGGATGGCCAGGCTGGAGGGGGTGTTCTCGCTGATCTTCAGCACACAGCGCCACTTGGCAAAGTCTGCGCCGTCTTTCTTGTACTGGGCACAGCGCTCTGCCAGCCCGTCCAGCCCTGGGGAGGGGAGGGAGGAAGGGAGGAAGGAAGGAAGGAAGGAAGGAAGGAAGGAAGGAAGGAAGGAAGGAAGGAAGGAAGGAAAAAGGGAGAGGGAGGAAGGAAAGGAAGGAAGGAAAAAGGGAGAGAGGAAGGAAGGGAAGGAAGGGAGGAAGGAAGGAAGGAAAAAGGGAGAGGGAGGAAGGAAAGGAAGGAAAAAGGGAGGAAGGAAGGAAGAAGGGAGAGAGGGAGGGAGGAAGGAAGGAAAAAGGGAGAGAGGGAGGAAGGAAAGGAAGGAAGGAAAAAGGGAGGGAAGAAGGAAAGGAAGGAAAAAGGGAGGGAGGAAGGAAGGAAGAAGGGAGAGAGGGAGGGAGGAAGGAAGGAAAAAGGGAGAGAGGGAGGAAGGAAAGGAAGGAAGGAAGGAAAAAGGGAGGGAGGGAGGGAGGGAGGAAGGAAGAAAGGAAGAAAGGAAGGAAAAAGGGAGAGAGGGGGGAAGGAAGAAGGGAGAGAGGAAGGAAGGAAGAAGGGAGAGAGGGAGGAAAGAAGGTAGCGAAGAGGAAAGCAGGAAGGCAAGAAGGAAGATGGCGAAGAGGGAGGGAAGGAGGAAGAAAAAAGGGAGAGGGAGGAAAGAAAGAAAGAAAGAAAGAAGGAAGGAAGGAAGGAAGGAAAAAGAGAGGGAGGGAGGAAGAAAGGAAGGTAGCGAAGGGGAAGGCAGGCAGGAAGAAAAAAGAAGGGAGGGAGGAAGGAAGCAAGGTGTTTAAGAGGAAGGAAGGAAGGAAGGGAGAGAGGAAGGAAGGAAAAAAAAGGGAGGAAGGAAACAGAATGCATGGCAACGCTGCAGCACACCACATACACCTTACGCCACACCAAGGCCTGATCTGACCCCCCACAGAATCCACCCACCTGCCCAATTAGCTCCCTGCCTCTGCCCCTACCTTGGGTGGTGGTTTCTCCATCCGTGCCGGCCAGGGGCACCACCCCTTTGTCCACCTGGGAAGGAAGCAGAGGCCGGTTAGGGCTGCAGTCCCCCCAGGATCCCCACGGGGAGGATTACAGGCTGATGCTGGGGGGGAGGCAGGTGGGCTCCTCCTGCAAGGGGGGGGGGGCAGAGCCCTGACTCCACTCTGAAGGGAAGGGGCTCAGCCTGCAACACCCAAAGGGCAATTTTGCAAGATCGCTCAGGAAGACGAGCGGGGGGGGGGGGAGGTTTCTTCCCTGATAAAGGAGAATCTTTGTAGCTCAGGGTTGAAATGAGGAGTCCCCGGTGGTCTCTGAGCTGGGGGGTTTCCTTGCAGGAGGAGGAGGAGGAGGAGGAGGAGGAGGAGGAGGAAGACAGCTGTGGGGTCCTTGGTGCTCTCTGAGCTGGGTGGTTTTCTTGCAGACGTTTCATGACCCAACTAGGGAACATCATCAGTGCTAGAAGGAAGGGGGATTTGCAGGGAGGAGGAAGAGGAGGGGCACTGTGGGGTCTTTTGTGCCCTCTGGCTGGTTACCGTGCAGACGTTTCATAACCCAACTAGGGAACGTCATCAGTGTGAGGGAGGGGTTCTCTCCCTTTTATGCAGGGGGAAACTGCTCTATATAGACAAGGGAGTGAGCCCCATTTTCTTCCAGCACTGATGACGTTTCCTAGTCGGGTCATGAAACGTCTGCAAGACCCCCACCCCCCTCAGAGAGCACCGAGGACTCCTCAGCTCTTCTCATCCGGACCGGTGGCCTTTCTGTCTGATTGGACAACCCGGGTGGGCTTCCCCCCTCCCCTCCTGGGCTGAAGAGGAGCAGCTGGATGCTAATTCCACAGCTGGCCGGCCAAGCTCAGGGGGGGCTTCTGATTCCCTGTAGAAATCAGATGGATTAGAAGCTCCCCAAGGCCCCTTCAGCTGCCTATAGGGGGTGTAGAAGGTGCTTCCCAGCCATCCCCAACCCCTGTCTTCAGGATCCGAACTCCGAACCGCTGACGTCCCTCGTTAGGCACTCCTGCGCCCAACTCTGGGCAGGGTCTTCAGGCAAGGCGAAGCAGGAGGGGGGGAGGCTCCCCATCTTTTCAGGAGCCAGGATGGGGGGGGGGCTCGGCAATCACCTTAATGCCCACCACGAGGCCCTTGTCCCGGACCATGTCCACGAAGGGGGTGCCGTCGTCGGCCTTCTGGTAGAGGGTCTCGTGGAAGAAGATGACCCCCCCGATGCACGTCTTGACCCGGCTGTCGGCGCTGAAGAGGATCTGGCGGTAGAGACGCCGGTTCTCCTCCGTGTTCTCCACCCCGATCTGGTTCAGCCGCTTGGCCATGCTGCCTGCAGGGGACCCCAAAAAGCCACCCTGAGTTGGGGAACCCCCCCTGCATGTCACAGCCTGGACCCTCCGTCCCTTCAGCCCCCAACTCCAGGCAATCCTCCACTTCTGACCCGTCTTGCCCAGCGTTTCTGTTGCTAAGAGAAACATTTGTTCAACTCAATTTCGCCCCATTTTACGGCCTTTCCTGCCACCGCTGTTAAGCCAGTCACTGCAGCTGTCAAGTCGTTAAGTGAGCCGGCTTCCTACCACGGACTCTGCCGGTCAGAAGGTCACACAAAAGGGGATCACATGACACACACATGCACACCGGACGCTGCGACCGTCGTAACTCTTGAGTCAGTTGCCAAGCATCCGAATTTTGATCACATGACCGTGGGGACGCTGCAAGGATTGTGTTCGTCGTAATTGCTTAAGTTTTAATCATTTTTTTTCAGTGCAGTGGCACGTTAAAGGGTCACTAAATGAACTGTTGTAAGTTGAGGACTACGTGTCTCTCAGTCTCCGGACAGACAGAGGTTTTTCAGGATGGAAATCAGGAGCCACAGGACTGAAAATGAGAAATCCTAATTACAGGGGCTTCCCGCCCCCCCCCCCCAGCAATCCCTCCCTTTTCCATAATGGGGAGGGGTCCTTGGTGCCCCCAGGAGAGGAATCCAAAGGGGTCTTTGAAAAGTGGGACCCCTGCAGGAGAAAGGATTTTCAACCCCGGCTTTACCCAGGAGGTCCCCTCCCTTGCCTGCTGGGAAGGCAGCCCCCCCCCAGAGGAGGGGCCTCCAGACCCACTCCCCAAATGCCAGGCTGCTCAGCCCCCCCTCCCCCTCCCCCTCCGGCAGACCCACCTACAGACTCATCGGCGGCCAGGATGCCCTTGCCCGGGGCCACGATCCGCTGGGCAATGTCCGAAAGCGCCTTCTTCTGCTCGGCAGTCAGCGGGGGGTATTGGTGGGTCATCGTGATGGGTGTCTCTGGAAGGGCATCCAAACGTGTCACTCAACAATGGCCAGGGCTATCGTGTCTTTATTGTCTAGGGATGGGCAAGGATGGGCCTTGGGCGGCCTGTGGACTTCAACTCCCAGAATGGCCTTTTTATGACTTGTGGACTTCAACTCCCAGAATTCCTCAACCAGCGTGGCTGGCTGAGGAATTCTGGGAGTTGAAGTCCACAGGACGTCAAAGGGGCATCCTTGCCCATGCTTGATCTCAATCAGGGGTCTTCAAACTTGGCCCTTTTATGACTTGTGGACTTCAGCTCCCAGAATTCCTCAGCCAGCAACGCTGGCTGAGGAATTCTGGGAGTTGAAGTCCACAAGTCATAAAAGGGCCAAGTTTGAAGACCCCTGATCTAAATCCACTGGCCGAGTTACAAACTTAGATTCTGCATTGGCAAACAAAAACACGCCACAAATGGAAGGAGGCCAGCTGGGCGGGCTGCACAAATTCCATATATACGAGACCCCGTTCCCCCCTCCCCTTTTCCCCTGCTTGAATTTTTAACTCCCTTGTTTGGGGGGAGGGCGGAAAGCTGCACATTCAGACGTTACAAATGTCCTTTCCCTAAACCTTCATCCGGCCACAATGCTAGCACAAGATCGTTATTTTTTTTTATGCTTTGTCCCTCTATTGTGGGGAGGGGGTAATTAACCTTCCCGAGGGGCCACCTGAGAAACTGGGAGGCTGTGAAATTGTGTAGGCATGCACAAAGGCACCTGTGTAAATTAGCAAGGTGAAACTCTTCGAAGAACTTTGAGGCATTGTTTACCTTAAAGAATCTTTAATTGAGCAAAATAATAATAATAATAATAATAATAATAATACTGTGGCAAAAGCAAGCAAGGGTAGTACCAATAGTCATAGGCTCATTGGGTGCAATCCCAAAACAACTGGAGCACCACTTGGACACCATCATCGGCATTGACAGATTCACTATTAGTCAATTGCAAAAGGCAGCCTTACTAGGAACTGCTTCCATCCTGCGACGATATCTGTAATACCATCAAACATCCAGATCTGCCTATCCCAGGTCCTGGGTAAGGACTCGATAGGTAGACAAAATGCCAAATCTAGTCTGAACATCTGGCTGACTGTGCGATGATCGATAATAATAATAATAATATATGCTTTCAAGACCTGGCAATAATCCTGCTCTTAGTCATTGCCAGGTCTTGAAAGCAGATAATAACAAGACCTGGCAATGGCTAACAGCAGGAAAATTGAAGAAAGAGACTGAGGGACTAATTCTGGCTGCACAAGACCAAGCCTTAAGGACAAATGCATATAAAGTCAAAATTGAGAAGACAGCAACAGACAGTAAGTGCCACCAATGCAAAGAAGCTGAAGAAACAGTGGGCTACCTGGTAAGCTGTTGCAAGAAGATTGCACAGACTGACTACAAGCAGAGGCATGACAAAGTAGCAACAATGGTGCATTGGAAGATCTGCAAGAAATATCATTTGCCTGTAAGCAAAAACTGGTGGGATCATAAAATAGAGAAAGTCATAGAAAATGATAAAATTAAACTGCTCTGGGACTTCAGAATTCAAACAGACAAGCACCTGCAACATAACACCCCAGACTTAACAATTGTCGATAAGAAAGACAAAAAAGTCTGGATAGTGGACGTGGCAGTGCCTGGAGACAGCAGAATAGACGAGAAAGAACTGGAGAAGATCACAAACTACAAAGACCTACAAATAGAAATAGAAAGACTGTGGCAAAAGCAAGCAAGGGTAGTACCAATAGTAATAGGCTCCTTGGGTGCAATCCCAAAACAACTGGAGCACACTTGAACACCATTGGCATTGACAAATTCGCTATTAGTCAATTGCAAAAGGCGGCCTTACTAGGAACTGCTTCCATCCTGCGACGATACCTGTAATACCATCAAACATCCACATCTGCCTATCCCAGGTCCTGGGTAAGGACTCGATAGGTAGACAAAATGCCAAATCCAGTCTGAACATCTGGCTGACTGTGCGATGATCGATAATAATAATAATAATAATGTTGGAAGGGACCTTGGAGGTCATCTAGTCCAACCCCCTGCTCAGGCAGGAAACCCTAGACCATTTAGGACAAAGGGCTGTCCAGTCTCTTCTTAAGAACTTCCAGTGTTGGAGCATTCACCGCTTCTGGAGGCAGGTGGTTCCACTGGTTAATTGTTCTCACTGTCAGGAAGTTTTTCCTTAGTTCCGGGTTGCTTCTCTCCTTGGTTAGTTTCCATCTGTTGCTTCTTGTTCTGCCTTCAGGCGCCTTGGAGAATAGCTTGACTCCCTCTTCTTTGGGGCAGCCCCTGAGATACTGGAACACTGCTATCAAGTTCCCCCTCATCCTTCTCTTCGTTAAACAAGACATACCCAATTCCAGCAACCGTTCCTTATATGTTTTAGCCTCCAGTCCCCTGATCATCTTCATTGCTCTTCTCTGCACTCTTTCTAGAGTCTCAGCATCTTTTTTACATCACGATGACCAAAACTGGATGCCGTATTCCAAGTGTGGCCTTACCAAGGCCTTGTAAAGCGGTATTAACACTTCACCTGATCTTGATTCTCTCCCTCTGTTAATGCAGGTGAAGGTCAAGTAAAAAAATGGCACTCTCCACCTGCTCAGAGTCACAACTGCTGCATTCCCCCCCCCCGCCCCCCAGACGCCTTAGAAGAGAGAAAATTATCATTCTGGAGCATCAGTCGGAACGGCCTCCATCGTCATGGCATCGGGGCCACAATCTGCCTCTTTGCCAAAGGCTCGTTCTGCCCTCCTGCCAACCCGGCCTTTGCAGCACATCAGTGGCATCAATGGAGGAAGGTGGCCTATTTCGGGCAGACATGTGCCCAGCCTCGTGGCCCAGCCAGACAGATGGCAGCCCTGCTGCTGACCCCTCCCCCCCGTTAAGGCCAGGCTACTGTTAATTACGATTCAGCAGGATTAGCTCCATCCCTCTTTGCTAAAGCTGCTTCCCTGGAAGGCCTCTTCTCTGGGGCAAAGCCGGCCACTAGAGCTGGGCACACAAAATGCCACTTCCATTTTCCAGGGCTGCTGAGTCAGGCTGCAGCCGCTGATGCTAGATTGTCATTCTTCTTTGCTGCAACGGCTGTTTCGTTTTGTCTTTTTAAACCAGCTAGGTGTAAAAGGTTTTACCCTCTAATTCAGGGCTCTCCAAACTCCAGATTCTAGGAGTTGAAGTCTCCAAGTCTTTCAGTTGCCAAGGTTGAAGACCCCTGCCCTAATGGAGGGGCTTTGACAGGCTGCCACAAAGAAGGAGGGATCAACTTATTTTTCCAAAGCACCAGAAGGCAGGACAAGAAACAACGGATGGAAACTTATCAAGGAATTAAGGAGAAAGTTCATGAGGGTTAGAACAATTAACCAGCAGAACAGAAGTTGCGTCCAGAAGTCGTGGGTGCTCCATCACTGGAGGTTTTTAAGAAGAGACTGGACAGCCACTTGTCTGAAATGGTTTAGGCGCAGGGGTAGGCAACCTTGGCTCTTTTATGACTGGTGGACTTCAACTCCCAGAATTCCTCAGCCAGCATGGGGGAACTATGGCCCTTGATGACTGGTGGACTTCAACTCCCAGAATTCCCGAGCCAGTATGGGGGAACTATGGCCCCTTTCATGACTCGTGGACTTCAACTCCCAGAATTCCTGAGCCAGCATGAGGGAACTATGGCCCCTTTCATGACTCGTGGACTTCAACTCCCAGAATTCCTGAGCCAGCATGGGAGAACTATGGCCCCTTTCATGAGTCGTGGACTTCAACTCCCAGAATTCCTGAGCCAGCATGGGGGAACTATGGCCCCTTTCATGAGTCGTGGACTTCAACTCCCAGAATTCCTGAGCCAGCATGGGGGAACTATGGCCCCTTTCATGACTCGTGGACTTCAACTCCCAGAATTCCTGAGCCAGCCTGGCTCAGCTTGGAACCTCTCCCTTTCCCCTCAGCATGGCTGGCTCAGGAATTCTGGGAGTTGAAGTCCACGAATCATAAAAGAGCCAAGGTTGCCAACCCCTGGTTTAGGCTCTCCTGCTTGAGCAGGGGGCTGGACTAGAAGACCTCCAAGGTCCCTTCCAGTTCTATTCTAATTGATTGGTGATTGATCGATCCCCGCTTACCTGTCCTTACATTTTTACAAGAGAAAGAAAGCAGCATGAGCCTAGAATTGCAAAAGTAGCACAAGCTGGGGAATTCTCCAAATTGGTTGGACTGTCACCCTCCCCATGGCCGGGCCGTCGAAGGGAGCTGCGTTCCAGCCTCAGAGGCCTCTTTGAATATCTGGACACAGCTGGCTGGGCACAGAAAGTCAGCGCCACCACGTCAGTTGTGGGAGTCTCATCCCTAGAAGCTTTCGACTGCCATCTGTCAGAAATGGTGTAGGGGTCTCCTGCTTGGGCGTGGGGGCTGGACTAGATGACCTACAAGGTACCTTCCAACTCTGTTATTCTGTTCCATTTAATCATGTCTGCCTCACTTTTTAGAGAACGTGCCCAGACGTTCTCAAGGCCAAGCAACGCTCTCTGGACTGCAGTCACCTCCCTCCCGCCACCAGCAAGCATTGCTGGGATTGATCGATGGAGGCAAAAGCCAGCAGCAGCCCAGATAGGCGTTTTCCTTGATTGATTTGGCACCTGACCCCCCCTTCTCCCCCCCCAGCCAGAGCAGCCACATACTGACTGTCCTTGTCCCCGCCTCTTCGTCTAAAGGACGTGGCCACAGGCACGTCGGCTTCCTCTATTCGAAGGACTTAACTGCTGCTTCCGCCCTCAAACCAGGTCACCAGCCTCAGGATGGAAGGAGCCCCCCCCTCCCCTTTGCACCATCCCAGACCCTGGAGAGCTGCCAAGACACCACGATCTCCCAATAAAGGGGGATGCTCGTAGCAGGGAATATTGGTCCTGTCTGGTTGTTTTCTGGCAGACGGTTCATGACTCAGCTCAGTAATTTGGAAAACTAGGTTACTAGTAATGACGATGTTGCTTAGTTTGGGTCACGAAACGTCTGCCAGAAATCAGCCAAGCTCAGTGAGCCTCAAGGACCCCATGGTTGTCTTCCTCCTCCTCCTCCTCCTCCTCCTCCTCCTCCTCCTCCTCCTCTTCCTCCTCCTCCCCCCCTTCCACCACTGATGACGTTCCCTAGTGGAGTCATAAAACATCACTAAGGACCCCACAGTCCTCCACCTCCTCCTCCCTTCTAGCACTGATGATGTTACCTAGTTGGGTCATGAAACGTCTGGAGAAAAACAACCAAGCTCAGAGTGCAGCGAGGACCCCACAATTCTCCTCCTCCTCCTCCTCCTCCACACACTCCACTGCCTCCTTGCACTGATGCCGTTACTTAGTTTGGGTCTGGAAACGTCTACAAGAAAACCACCCAGCTCAGAAACCCTCAAGGACCCCCCAGTCCTACTCCTCCTCCCTTCTAGCACTGATGATGTTACCTAGTTGGGTCATGAAACGTCTGGAGAAAAACAACCAAGCTCAGAGCGCAGCGAGGACCCCACAATTCTCCTCCTCCTCCTCCTCCTCCTCCTCCTCCACACACCCCACTGCCTCCTTGCACTGATGCCAAGTTTGGGTCCGGAAACGGCTGCAAGAAAACCACCCAGCTCAGGGGGCACCAGGACCCTCCCACTCCGGGCTGGTTCTGCCTTCCCCACCTCTTCTTCCTCCGATGCGCAGATGCACCGAAGCAAGGCACTTTGGAATTCATACATGGGGGGGGGGGAAGCAGGAGCGCCTTTAAGGATACTTGTCCTCCCCCCCCCCAGCACAACCGGCCCAGCCCTGAGCTCGGGGGCTCTCAGCCGGGAGCCCGCAGGCCTGGCGCCCCGGGCAGAAGCTCGGGGGCTCTCAGCCGGGAGCCCGCAGGCCTGGCGCCCCGGGCAGAAGCGAAGCACCCGCGTAGGAGGACCCTCCCTGCAAAGGTCCCGGTCGGGAGACACCAAACACGGCAGCTGCCCTGGCCGCGCCCGCCCCGCAAGCCCCCTCCGGGCAGGAGGCCGCCCTGCGTCCGGCGCTCCCGGGGACGCCGGGCTCCCATCCCCGACGGCCGGAGGCGAGGCGGCCGCGCTCAGCCGGCCAGGCGCGGGGCGACGGACCCTCGAGGGGGCGGCAGGGAAGGTCCGGCCCCGGGAGCGCTCCGGTTAGAGGCCGGCCTGCCGGAGGAGCCTGGCCGGGCGGGCGGTCCGCGGGCGCCTTACCGGTGGAGCGAGGCTGCTGTCGTCGTCCGCCGTCGGGGCTGCCTCCGCGGCTTGTGCGGCGCCGGCTCTGGCGCGCGGCTGTAAAGGCGGCGCCGGTGCCGCAGAGCTACGTGACCGAGGGAGGCGGGAGGCCGGGAGGGGCGGGGCCAGGCGGCTCCCCCGGCCCCTCCCTCCGGGAAGGCGGCGGTGGCCCGCCCTGCCGCTCCGGGCCTGGGGCCATCACAGACGACCCCCCTCCCTCCGCCTTCCCGGCGCCCTGCGGCTCCCAGCCCGCTCAGGGGCTGCAGCGGTGCAGCCCCCCCGAGTCGCCCCTAGACGGGCTCAGAAGAGGGTACTCTGAGCACGTGAAGAGTGCCTCGCCTCCCTCCTTTCCCCAGGCCCCGCTTGGGCTGGGACTGCCCAGCCCGCCCCCTCCCCCTTGCTCTGGCTGTGGAGTCTAGGGGTCGCTCCGGGAGCTGTAGCCGGAGGGCTGGTCTGGAGGGTCCGGGCAGAAGGAGGGGGGGAACTGGCAGTGGGGAGGGGGCGGATCCCCCTGCACGGGGAGGTTGAAAGAGGGGTTAGAACGGGCGCCACCCGGTGGGGAAACTACGGAGGCATTCCTGCCCTGGACAAGGGGTGGGCTAGATGATCTCTAAAGTCGCTTCCTTCTTTATACGACCCGCCTTTCCTTCGTGCTGGACCCTAACCCGCGGTTGGCGGGCTCAGGGCCGAGGCTGCAAAGTCCGAAGCCGACCCCTCTTCCTCCTGGCCAGGCAGCAGAGGGGGCTCCGGGGGGGGGGCTTGTGGTGGGACGGAACTGCGGCTCCCTCTCCAGTTGGAGGTCTTGCAGCTTTTGTGTGTGTGTTTGTGTGTGTGTGTATGCGCGTGAGGAGTCACTGAGCCTTCCTTCTGGGTGGCGCGCACGGGGGGTGGGAGGGCTGCCATCCCTTCCCACAGAATTATATTCAGTTTTATTGATAAGCCATTTATATGGTTTTATTGGTGGACAGGGCTGCAGTGCGTCTTGACTGAAGGACTGGTGGTCAACTAACCCTCTCCACTCAGCCCCAAATTTCTGTGGCTTAGCAAGACAGCACTTAAGTGAGTTTTGCCCTGTTTTACGACCTTTCTTGTCACCGTCCTTAAGTGAACTACCGCTGTTCTTAAGTTAATAAATCCGGCCAGGTCACAAAAGAGGATCGTGTGACCCCTGCCAGAAGACAGACGAGCACGAGATCGCTGGGACTCCACGGTGCCTAAGGAAAAGGACGCCAGGGCTTAAGCAGAGGGCCTGGTCTGGCCAGGAAGCTGGACTTGCACCCCAAAATAGGCGGAGTCTTGACCACAGGGTCACAGCCACCATCTTGACTTTTGACCCTGGGGCCACATCTTTCAGGCCAGAGGTGGGGAACTATGGCCCCCTTTATGACTGGTGGACTTCAACTCCCAGAATTCCTGAGCCAGCCTGTGCTGAGCCTAAATGCTGGCTCAGGAATTCTGGGAGTTGAAGTCCACCAGTCATAAAGGCCCTCTTTCCCCACCTGTTTTCCTCTGCTCAACGCTTACAAGCAGTTGTTTACAAATCCAGCAATATATAAGAAAATAGCAGATGCAGAAGGGGTGGAAGCTTATCTGCCCCACCTGGAGATGGGAAAGGGGGTATATCCCCATGTGGGCTGGAATATAGCCTACAATTGTTCTAAGTTGGTAGCGAGCAGAAAGTGGGAGAAAGAGGGAATAAATCTCATTTTTATTAAGCTGCCACCTTAAGGACTCTTCCTTTCTCCGTTGAAAATAAAAGACACTTTTAGCATTTGTGCCAGTTGCAAAATCCAGCAGAGCCAAAGCAACGGAGGGCTGGCCTCATGCCCAGAAAGGGGGGGGGAAACGGCTTTTGGGGCACAGCCTCTGGTCAGCCATGCCCAGCAGACAGACCAGCACAGACTCCCCCAAGGCAGCTGCAGTGGCCCCTCTCCCCTCTGCAGAGGGATTTGGACCCCCATTCAGGAACAGAAACTGGCTGGGGAGTGAGGAAGGAGGATAAGCAAAGCCAGGTCATTCAGCCCCCCCCCACACCAGTGGAGAAAGAGGCGGGGGCAGCACCATCTGGGCATCAGAGCAGGCAGGAGATGCCAAGAAAAAAGGAAGCTGGGTTTGCAAACGCTGCCTTTAAAAGAAGGAAGCTGAATGATGTCCTAAGAGAGACCCCCACCCACCCAACTGCCAGCCAGTAAAAGGGCAGCCTGGCTCTGGAGGGGGGGGCTCCTTGTGCCAATGCCAGCCGCCTGGGAAGGGCAAGAGGGGTCTGAGCTATTTTTCTCAAATACCAAACTGCTGAGCTCATTGCCCCCTATGACCCACTGGCCCCAGAAGTCTTTCTGCTGCCTCCCCCTCCCCAGCTGCCTTCACCTTTTCCAGGCAAGGCGCTGGGCTGCAGCCCCCCTCCCCACTATTTTTCTTAGAAGGTCCTGGTCCTTTTGGAAGAGAAAAGGGATTGGGATTTCTGGTGAGGCTGCAAGAGGGCTTTGCAAGTCTGATTCTCTCTGTGTGTGTGTGTGTGTGTGTGTGTGTGTGTGTGTGTGTGGTGGCCCCGACTAAACTGGTGCCCTAAATCGGGGATCTCCAAAGTCGGCCACTTTTAAGACTTCAACTCCCAGGATAATAATAATAATAATAATCTGCAAAAAAAATCATTTGCCTGTAAGCAAAAACTGGTGTGATCATAAAATAGAGAAAGTCATAGAAAATGATAAAATTAAACTGCTCTGGGACTTCAGAATTCAAACAGACAAGCACCTGCAACATAACACTCCAGACTTAACAATTGTCGATAAGAAAGACAAAAAAGTCTGGATAGTGGACGTGGCAGTGCCTGGAGACAGCAGAATAGACGAGAAAGAACTGGAGAAGATACCAAAATACAAAGACCTACAAATAGAAATAGAAAGACTGTGGCAAAAGCAAGCAAGGGTAGTACTAATAGTGATAGGCTCCTTGGGTGTAATCCCAAAACAACTGGAGCACCACTTGAACACCATTGGCATTGACAAATTCGCTATTAGTCAATTGCAAAAGGCGGCCTTACTAGGAACTGCTTCCATCCTGCGACGATACCTGTAATACCATCAAACATCCACATCCGCCTATCCCGGGTGCTTGGTAAGGAATCGATAGGTAGACAAAATGCCAAATCCAGTCTGAACATCTGGCTGACTGTGCAATGATCCATAATGTTGGAAGGGACCTTGGAGGTCATGTAGTCCAACCCCCTGCTCAGGCAGGTAACCTTAGACCATTTCAGACAAATGGCTGTCGGTCTCTTCTTAAAAACTTCCAATGTTGGAGCATTCACCGCTTCTGGAGGCAGGTTGTTCCACTGGTTAATTGTTCTAACTGTCTGGAAGTTTCCCCTTAGTTCCAGGTTGCTTCTCTCCTTGATTAGTTTCCATCTGTTGCTTCTTGTTCTGCCTTCAGACGCTTTGGAAAATAGCTTGACTCCCTCTTCTTTGGGGCAGCCAACTATGCTTGAAGTGGCCAAATTTGAAGACCCCTGCCCCAAATAAAGCTTCTAAGCTGCAAGGGAGCCAAACCAGACAATTTGTGATTTTCTCCCCTGTGATGCTACCAAGCCTCCAGCGACAGAGCTGGACTTATGGGGAGGGACAGCCTCTGGACCCCAAGGGGCGGGGGGGGGGGAGAAGGCATGGCTTCCCACGTCCTTAACTGCCCCAGGGGCGTCTTTGGCCAAGCAGGCAGCCAGACTTCTCTGTGTCTGGGACCCCCATGGCCCGAAGCCAGGCAGAGCAGGGTCTCTGGTGGTTAGCGAGGCGGGGGGGGGGGGACGTCTACAACTACACAAAGCTGAGAGCGTCCCTGTTGATGGGACTAGAAGCTGAGAGACAAACTGCCAGAGCCTTGCAAACATAACATTATTTACTTCAATAGACAAATAGGAGAACAACCCTTGCTTTCACCTCCGGGCCATCTTCAGACAAACAAATCCACAAGATGCTGGACCTCAGCGAGGCTGGATACTTCATCCGGCAACGTGGAGAGGGCCTGGGGGGAAATAGGAGAGCACTGAGGCCCCTGGGCTCCAGCCTGCAGCAGCCGTGCAAAAAACAGCAGCGGGAGAGGGAGGGGGGGGTGTCCCTCTTCTCTTGAGGGTCTTGAACCGGTCTTGGTGAGGCTGCCTTGCATTTTGGCTCAGAAGCCGCAAACCTGGCCGACTGTCATGGCAGCCATGCCCTTAGCTGGCAAGCCAAATGGAGCATGTGAATCCCAGAAGGCATGATTTGGAAGGGACTGTGGAGGTCATCTAGTCCTCCCCTTCCTATCCCTAAGAGGTAGCCATTTGAAAAAACCCCTCCCAAAATAGAAGAATCACTATTACTTTAGGCAGAATCCTCTCTATTGGAAGGGTCTCCAACCGTGGGCACTTGAAGACTTCAAATCCCAGAATTCTAAAGCCAGCTATGAAGGGAGGGGAGTTCGTGGGGGGGGGGGGAGGAGCAGGAGGGGGGAAAAACCTGTGGGGTCCTTAGTGATCTCTCTGATCTGGGTGGTTTCCTTGCAGACGTTTCACAACCCAACTAGGTTACATCATCAGGGCTAGAAGGGAGTGGGCTTTGAGGATGGAGGGTCTTAAAGCAGGACTGGCTGGGGAATTCTGGGAGTTGAAGTCCACAAGTCGCCAAGGGTGGATATCCCTGCTCTATGTGACGCTTAATCTACTGGGTGAGTGCAAGGTCTGCTCAAAACAAGAGGACTAGCCCCTTAGGTGCCCCGAAGGATTTGGCCCCAATCCAGGAGCCTCAAAATTTGCCCCCAGACTTATTGCTACTTCCGGTCTTTCTCAGAATAAAGCCAGGGGCGAGTGCTACCCTGATGGACTTCTGCCTGCCTCCGGGACTTCATCAGGCAGGGCCTGGACACCCACCTGCTTCAGCTTCGCCTCCAGTTTTTCCTGGTGCCACAGCAGCTGCTGGGCCTGGCAGAGCCGCTCCTCCAGGCCTCTCACCTGCGGGCACAACCACGGAGCCCCAGAGTCAGGACAGGCCCTGAAGGCCAGCCCACCCGGAGGGGAGACCCCAGCCCATCCAGCAGACCCCCACCTGCAGCACGTGGCTGGTCAGGGCCTTCGTGTGGTCAGTGTCCTTCTGCAGAAGCAGCTCCTTCAGCTTTCCTACCTGTGGGGGATGAGAGGCCATCACGAGCCCGGAAAGGGGGCACCTGAGCACGCACAGAGTGCCCGCTCTGCTCAGCAAGGGGCGACTTGTGATCCCGCACCCTTTTGCACAGGAAAAAAGAGATTCCTCACTGGCCAGATCTTATAGCTAAGTACAAGACAGTCCTCTGCTTAGACCAGTGATTCTCAACCTTTCTAATGCCGTGACCCCATAATACAGTTCCCCATGTTGTGGTGACCCCCAAGTGGGTGTGGCCACCAATAAGAGGGAGTAGGACAGCTAGGGAAAAAGGAAAAAAATGGCGGACAGCATGGTTTGGTGACCCCCGTGAAATGGTCATTCGACCCCAAATGGGGTCCCGACCCACAGGTTGAGAACCACTGGCTTAGACATTTGTTTAGCGACCGTTCGAAGTTACAACGACACCAAAGAGACTTATGACCGGGTTTCACACTTAAGACCCTTTGCAGCATCCCCATGGTCACATGGTTAAAATTCGAACACTTGGCAACTGGCCTGGATTTATGACGGTCGCAAGTCCCTAGGGTGTGTATGTGTGTGTGTGGTTTTACTGCGATCCCCTTTTGCAAACACAACTAGGCCCCAAATTTCCGTTCCTAAGCAAGACAACAGTTTCATTGTTGTGACCTTTCCTGCCACTGTTGTTAAGTGAATCACTGAAGCTGTTAAGTCAGTTAACACGGACATTAAGTCAGTCTGGCTCCCCCCCATTGACTTTGCTTGTCAGAAGGTCGTAAAAGGGGATCATGTGACCCCAGGAGATGACAACCGTCATAAATACGAGTCAGTTGTCAAGTGTCCAGATTATGATCGTGTGGCCGTAGGGATGGCGAAACGGTCGTAAGTGTGAACAATGGTCCTAAGTCATTTTGTTCAGTGCTGTTGAAATTTCAAACGGATGGCAGGAAGGTTGGGATCACCCATATTTCAGGTAGCCTCCTTCTAGATAAGGAGGTTCCAGAACAGAGGTGGGGACTTTAAATCCCAAAAGGCTGGTTGAGGAATTCTGGGAGTTGAAGTCCACAGGTCGCAAAGGCGCCATAGTGTAGGACAGAGATAGGCCACCTTGGCTCTTTTATGACTGGTGGGCTTCAATTCCCAGAATTCCTGAGCGAGCATGAGGGAACTATGGCCCCCTTCACGACTGGTGGACTTCAACTCCCAGAATTCTTGAGGCCAGCATGGCTCAGCTTGGAAACCTCCCTTTCCCCTCAGCATGGCTGGCTCAGGAATTCTGGGAGTTGAAGTCCACCAGTCATAAAAGAGCCAAGGTTGCCTACCGCTGGTGTGGGAGATGACCAGGCCGAGCCTGAGGGAGGAGGGCCCAAGCTGCTGTCATTCTCCCTTGGTGCTGGGAGGAGATCTAAGCCCCGCCCACCTTGAATGACTTCCTTATCTCCCGCTCATTTGCCTTGACTGTTAGTTGCCCAGATTCTTGCAGAGAGCTTAAACTTGCGATAAATCTCGATAACCTTCTCCCGATTTCCAGGGTGCTTGACAGATTCCCACCCATGTTCCAAATCCCGCAGCAGGTGACAGAAAGGAGGGCATCCCAAAAACCTCAGCATGGGCTGGAATTACGGCTCCCGCAAGGGTCCTAGAAGCCAGGACTGGTGCAGCCCCCTCCCCCAGTCCCTGGCACCTCCTGTCGCAGCCAGATCTTCTCCTGGACTTCGGGCAGTCGGGTCCCGCTCAGCTCGTCCCACAGAGTGGCGGCCGTCGTCTCCGACTTCTGCAGCTCCTCCCTCAGCAGAGCCACCTCCTCTCGCAGGGTCTGGGGGGGGGGAAGGCTGGTCAGTTGCCGGTGGGGCAGGGCGAGGAGCCCACCTCCCAGCTTGTGCCCCTCCCCGTGGACGTACCGCCACTTCCCTCCTCTGGTCGCTCAGCTGGAATTGCTTCTCTCCTTGCTGACGCAGCAGCTCCCGCAGCTCCTTCTCGCTCTGGGGGGGGGGGAGAGAAAGAAGGGTCTTTGGGGGCAGCTGGAGGAGGAAGCCAGTCCAGCTTCCAGGACTTAGTGGGGCTGGGGGAGACGGCAGTGGCAGAGCACAACCCTCCCTTCAAAGCAGCCGCCCCTGCTGAGGATGGAGGCCACCAGGTTGCAGGAAGTGGCCCGGCTAGATGACCTCTGGGAGTATGACTGAGAATCCCAGCTGGGAAGGGCCCTGCCTGAACCACCTAGATGCCCCCTGTTGGATTCTTTAAATATATATATATATATATCAACATTAAAATATAAACTCAAAAAAGAGATAAAATACAAAAACAAAGAAAAACTAAACAAGACATTAAAAATGTTTATAAAAAAACACATAAATTGTCCATCTTGTTGAATATTAATGAATATATATCAAGAATAATAGTCCCCCCCCTTGCAAAACAAGCATACAATTTCTGGCATGCTAGAACAAGGGGGTGTCCAATTATGGCAACTTTAAGACTTGTGGTCCTCGACTCCCAGAAAAGTTGGCTATGGAATTCTGAGAGTCAAAGTCTTAAAGTGACTATGGAATTCTGGGAGTTGAAGTCCACAAAAGTTGGCTATGGAATTCTGGGAGTGGAAGCCCACAAGTCTTAAAAGATGACTATGGAATTCTGGGAGTCGAAGTCCACAAAAGTTGACTGTGGAATTCTGGGAATGGAAGCCCACAAGTCTTAAAAGATGACTATGGAATTCTGGGAGTTGAAGTCCACAAGTCTTAAAGCTGACTATGGAACTCTGGGAGTTGAAGTCCACAAGTCTTAACAGTTGCCACGGCTAGTGTCCCAGCCCACGCAGCCCCCCCCCCGCAGCGCACCTGGATCCTCTGGTGCAGGGCCTTGCTGAGCTTGGAACGGGTGGCGTTGCAAGCGTCCATCTCGGCCTGGTGTTCCGTTTGCGATGTCTCCAGCTGCTGCTCCAGCTGCAAACTGCCAAGAGGAGGAAGGCAGCTCAGCGCACAGCTGCTTCCCCCCCCCCCGTGAAGGACCAGGAAGACCCCTCTTCCATCTTGGTCCATCAGAGCCAGCGAGCAGCACCCCCCCTCCCCTGTCCGGCCAGCGCTCACATCTGTGCCTGCCGCTCTTTGATGTCTTCTTGGCAGCGCCTGGCCAGCAGGCGCAGCTGCTCCAGCGCCAGGCGCAGATCCTGGGTGTGGCTGGCCAGGGAGGCCTCAATCTCTGCAGGGAGAGTCCGGACAGTGAGGAGGGAGGGCAAGGGGGGGGGTAGGAAGAGGGGGGGGGGTTGCCTCAGAGCAGAGTCAGAATCACAGAATTGGACAGGACCTTGGAGGTCTTCTAGTCCAGCCCTGTACTCATGTAAGAGACCCCCTAGACCAGTGGTTCTCAACCTTTTTAATGCCGCGACCCCCAACCGGTCGTAAGTCGAGGACTACTCAACCGGTCGTAAGTCGAGGACTACTCAACTGGTGTGGCACCGTTTGCAGAATGGGACTTTTGGCGGGCTCAGCAGGGCAGAGACAGCCTGGACAATTCCTATTGGCTTTTGAAAGCCAATAGAATTAGACTCTATTCAAGAGAGTCTATTCTATTGGCTTTCAAAAGCCAATAGAATAAAAGGGAGTAGCACAGCTAAGGAAAAGGGGAAAAAAAATGGCGGACTGCGTTGTTTGGCGACCCCCATGAAATGGTCGTTCGACCCCAAATGGGGTCCCGACCCACAGGTTGAGAACCACTGCCCTATACCATTCCTGACAAGTGGCTGTCCAGTCTCTTTTTAAAAACCAGGGGTGTCCAATCCTGGAACTTTAAGACTTGTGGACTTCAACTCTCAGAATTCCTGGAATTCTGGGAGTTGAAGTCCACAAGTCTTAAAGTTCCCAAAGCTGGACACTCTTAGCCTACACCACCCCACACTTCCCAATCTCTTCTCAAAAGCCCCCCGTGATGGAACCCCCACAACTTCCAGAGGCAAGGAGTTCCACTGGATCATTGTTCATACCTGAGGGCTGAGGAGGAGGGGCCGGGGCTGTGCGCATAAACGCGGTGGTCTCGCTCCAGAGGCCTGGGATCGTTTTGTCTGAAAGAGACAAAGGTTGCCTTCTTTGGGAAGCTCCCCCCAAACCAGGATAAGTGGAATTTAAGTAGTTCTTGACTTACGACCGTTCGTTTAGTGACTGTTCCCTGAAAAAAGGGACTTAGGGCCGCTTTTCCCTGTAGCAGCATCCCCCAGGGTCACGTGATCAAAATCCGGGCGTTTGGCAACTGATGTGTATTGACGACGGTCGCAGTGCAAGCCCCCATTCACTTAACCAGCATGTGACTGACTTAACATCTGCGGGGACTCACTTAGCAATGGTGGAAAGGAAGGTTGTAAAATGGGACAAAACTATTGAAGGTGTGTCTTGCTTGACACAAAAACTATTCTCTCAGTTGTGGTTGTAAGTCAAGAACCCCCTCTAACACACACATCACATTAAAAATGGCTAAAAACTAATAATATAGCGAATAATAATAACATGGTTAACAATACAGTTAAACTACAAGAGAACTATAAGAAAAGCGGGTTGTTGAGCTGATAGCTCCACCTCTTCCCCCGCCCCCCCCCCCTGGCAAAATCAGAATTTTGTGTGTTTTATTCATTGTTCATTTCTTTATTAAATTTACTGGCTGCCCCTTTTTGCAGAGGCTAATCCCGGACAGCTTATAATATTAAAAACATAAAACGATTTGTCAAGGTAATGATTTAAAAGCTAACCAGCTGATGTAATGTGAGATATAATAATAATCAAGTTGGAAGGGACCTTGGAGGTCATCTAGCCCAACCTCCTGCTCAGGCAGGTAACCCTATACCATTTCGGACAAGTGGCTGTCCAGTCTCTTCTTAAAAACTTCCAGTGTTGGAGAATTCACCACTTCTGGAGGCATGTATGATGTAATGATGGAAATGACTCAGCAGGGTCTGTGTCCCTTTAAGAGCCTTGTATAAAAGGAAGGCTCTGCTGCTGTGTTCTCTCTCGTTTTCCTGCTGTAACTGCTGTGTGTTGGAGACTGCTGCATTAACATGTGTAAGTATATTGTTCCTGAGGTATGATAATGTAGTTACTGTAAGATAAACCACCATTTAATATAGACCACTGTTTACTATGTTTACTCCTGGGTTAGGGCAAGGAGACTGTGCACACTCTGACACTGACTAGGTAAACAATACAAATACTGTAAAATGCAGGAAATCCTCAACTTACAACAGTTCATTTAGTGACCGTTCGAAGTTACAATGGCCCCGAAATAAAGTGACTTAGAGCCGTTTTTCACACTTACGACCGTGGCGGCATTTCAATATGGTCACACGATCAAAATTCAGGCGCTTGGCAACCGACTCGTGTCTATGACAGTCACAGTGTCCCGTGATCCCCTCTTGTGAGCTTGCGACAAGCCAAGTCGACGGAGGGGAAGCCAGATTCACTTAACGACCATGTTACTAATTTAACCATCGCTGTGATTCGCTTAACAAGCGTGGCGAGAAAGGTTGTAAAACGGAGCAAAACCTCACTTAACCACCATCTCACTTGACAGCGGAATTTTGGGGGGGGGGGCTTGTAAGTCGAGGACCAAATGCAGGTGGCCAGAGAAGGGCTCCTCACCTTCCTGGGATGCCGCTCGCAGGACGCTGTCCACCAGGGAAAGCCCCGGGCGTTGGGAGGGGCGCCGGCCCGGAGTGCGAGTGCTGCTCTGGACTGCCTGGGAAACAAGCCACAGTTGAGGATGGCCCTTTCCGGAGAAATTCAGGGGCCACCAGCCCGGCCAGCAAACTGGGTCCGTCCTACCTCTCCTGGCAGGGCCGTCCGCAGGAGGTCCACAGCCCCCAGGCACTGGGCGTGGAGACCCCCCAACTCCTCCACGGCCCGGGAGAGCCCCCCCAGGCCGCTTTCCATGCCCCGGAGCTCAGCCCTGGCCTCGTCCAGCTCGGCACTCAGCAACTCCTGCTCCTGCCTGCGGGAAGGGAGGGGGTGGAGGAAGAGTCAGAGGGTGGGCTCGACCGCCCCGGACCCGAGGGATCGGAGAGGGGGAGCCCGGCCCTTACTGGAGTTTCCGGTGGGCATCCTTGAGATCCTCCAGCAGGCTGCTGCGTTCTCTCAGAGCGGCGAGGCTGGCCTTCAGCTCTTCCTCCGTCTCGCTGAGCTGGCGGCGGGCAACCTGGTTCTCCTGCTCCAGAAACTGCAGGGGGGGGGGTAGGAGAAGGGCACCCCGAAATAGAGCCCAGGGCAGTCCAGGCCTCCCTTCCTTCCCCCCACCGCCAGCCCCCTCTCGGCCCCCAACCTACCTCGCGGCAATCCAAGGCCTCCCGAAACTCCCGCTGGGCGCTCTCCCTCTCCTGCTGCGCCCGCTCCTTTTCCTGGGCCAGCCTGCGGGGGAGAACCCCCCAAGTTAGGGGAGGGGGCTCCTGGATGTGCCAAAGCCAGTTTACAAGTCCTCCCTTTACAGCCAGAAGTGAGCCCCAAGTATACGGGTATAGGGTTTCCTGCCTGAGCAGGGGGTTGGACTAGATGACCTCCAAGGTCCCTTCCAACTTTACTATTATCCCTATTGTATGCTGCACCGCAAGGCCGTTGTTAAGTGAGTTTTGCCCCATTTTACGACCATGGTTAGTGAGAAGGTCGTTAAGCGAAGCTTGGCCTTCCCACTGACTTTGCTTGTTAGGTCACGCGACCCCGGGACTCAGCGACCGTCATAAATACGAGCCAGTTGCCAAGAGTTTTGAGCACATGACCCCGGGGACGTTGCAATGGTCGTAAGTGCAAAAAAACCGGTCGTGAGTTTTTTTCAGTGCCGGTGTAAACTTCGAAGCGTCACTAAACGGACGGTCGTAAGTAAAGGACTCCCTGTGCCTCCGTCCGATGGGCGAGGCAACTGATGGTAAAATGGAAAGTGGGTTCAGAGCTTCACACACCCCTCAGACGGCCGGGGGTCTTCGCAGTTGCTGCCTCCCCCAAAACCCCTCATTACTACAAGAGTCTCACTCGGTCTTTGGGAGAATTAGAGGGGGCTGGAGGTGTGGGAATTGCCCCCTCGACTCCTGGGGGGCTGAAGTCCACCCTCCAATGAAGGAATCCAGGGGTTGAGCGCAGCCCTTTTAAGAATGGACGATTCATGCCTGGGGTGTCCAAGCTTGGTCACTTTAAGACCTGTGGACTTCAACTCCCAGAATTCCCCAGCCAGCACAGCTGGCTGGGGAATTCTGGGAGTTGAAGTCCACAGGTCTTAAAGTGACCAAGCTTGATAAATAATCCCCAGGTGAAATTAAAGAAAAGAGAGACCCCAGACCCATCCAGAGGTTGTGCAGTGGTTGGAATCCCGGCAGTCATGGCTGAAAACATCTGGAGGGCGGCAGGCTGGCGAAAGCAGCCAAGCTGCTGCCCCCCCCCCAGCACATCAGAACTCACCTGGCGGTCTCGTCCTGCAGCCGCTGAATGGCCATCCTCTTCTCCTCCAGCTGCTGGGTGAGCGCCAGCTGTTTCTCCTGCAGCTGCTCCAGCTGGTATTCCGAGGCCCTCGCTTCTTCCAGAGCGGCCTGCAGGTCTGCGGACAGGGCAGGGGTCAAGCTCCCCCCCCCACTCTTGGTGGGCAAGACCCCCAGAAGGGGCTTGTCCTCCCCCTCCTTCCCCACCCCTCTGTGGTCAAGCCAGAGGAGCCAAACTTTGGTGACCTCTCGGCTCCAGGCCCGGCATGCTGGACGCGCGCCACAATTCCCGGCGCCCGCTTTGGACCGGGCACAGCGCCTCGTTGGGGCTCACCTTGGTCCAGCTGCCTGTTGGTCTCCACCAGCTCGTTCACCCGGCCCAGCACTTCAACCAATTCCACCGTCCTCTCCTCCAGCTTCTGGCATACCTGCACACGTCACATAGGAGGGCATGGGCATTGTAGTCCCTGCCTGCCTGGCAGGGAGCCACGGCAGCGGGACCCTCCAGTGGGGCTGACCCCGGAGATGCACACCTATCAGCTCAATCCTGTTCTCCCCCTTCGCCAAAGGGGGATTTGGCCAGCTGGGAAGAAATGTTGGGGAGGGGGTTCAGGAGACCCCTGCTATGGAGAGAAAGAGGGGATCCACCCTCCATGCACCCCACCCATTTCCTTTGGAGGGGGGGGCACCTTCCAGTGTCTGAAGGTCCCAGTGTCTGCAGAGTGCCTGATGGGCCAGAATTGAGACAGTATTTAATATTTATTTGCTACTAGCTGTACCCAGCCACGCGTTGCTGTGGCTCAGTGTGGTTAAATGGAAAAGAAAGAAAAGAGAAAGCACACGTTTGTAATATGTTTAGTTTCACAATGCTTGTGGGTATACAATATTTTTTGTTGTTCCATTGTGTGTGCAGATATAGAGATTACATCCAACAGATGGCGCTGTTTTTCAAAAAAAGCATGTTTTTACCTGTCACAGATGTGACATCTATATAATATAGATATATAAAAACACACGCGTATTCGAATACAACGTTGGGTCAAAATTTCAAAGCAATTGGTGAAGAACTTTCGGAGATGTAAGATTTTGAACAAACGAACATTTACATTTTTATTTATATCGATAGAAGATGTATGTAGGGGTGTGGGTCTATATACATATGTTGTACATAGTATGTTTAGGTGTGTGTCATATACGCGTTTCACTTTGACAGCAGGCAACTAAATTTCATTTTTGATGTGTGCCGTTGTGCCCACAGTAAAAAAAATGACAATAAAGATTATCTTATCTTCAGCTCAAAAGATAGAAGGAGGGAGTCCTCGGCTTACGACCACAATTGAGCCCCCAATTTCTGTTGCTAAGTGAGACAATGGTTGAGGGAGTTTGGCTCCATTTTACGGCCTTTCCTGCCGCTGCAATTGTTAAGTTGGTCACTCGGTCGTTAAGTGAATCTTCCCCCCCAGGGGCTTTGCTTGTCAGGTCTCAAAAGGGGATCACGGGACACCCCCCCCGAGGGACGCTGTAACCGTGATAAATACGGGACATTTGCCAAGCAGCTGAATTTTGACCCTATGATCGTGGGGATGCCACGACAGTCGTAAGTGTGAGGACTGGCCATAAGTCATTTTTTCCAGCACCTGCGTAACTTCGCACCCAAAACCTTTGCTGAAGGATGAGGCTTTACGGCCGAAGAAAGCCAGAGGAAATGGGGGTGGGGGGACGCCTGGAAGGGGTTTTGGGGACCCAGGAAAGCCGCACCATATCATCTGCAACACCGGAGGTGTGTGTTGGAGTGCAATGCGGCTTAGTCCTCGGTTTACAACAATTCGTTTAGTGACCGTTCAAAGTTACGATGACGCTGACCAAAGTGATGACCGTTTCTCACTTACGATGACTCCAGGGTCAGGTGATCCCCTTGGGCGGCCTTCCGACGAGCAGAGTCCATAGGGGAAGCCAGACTCACTTAACAACCGTGTGACTGACTTAACAACCACAGCGATTCACTTAACAACTGCGGCAAGAAAGGTCGTAAAATGGGGCAAAACTCACTTAAATTTTGGGCTCAGTTGTGGTCGTAAGTCGAGGACCACCTCTGGCACAGTGCCCACATAAGAAAGTGCGGTGAGGGGGGGGGATCAATGGGTCTCATAAGGACTGGAACAGCCCCCCCCCCAGGAAGGAGCCTTGCCTCTTGGTGCTGGGCGCTCTCAATCCGGACAGCCTCCACCTCCTCCGCCACCTTCCGCTGGGCCACGAGGCACTGGGCCACGGCGCTGCGGCAGCCTTGGTACTGTGGGGGGGGGGAGACCGAGAAGACCCCTGTCAGTGCAGGGAGGCTCTGGCAGGGGGGTGGGGGTGGGGGTGAGCACTTACGTCCAGCCGCATCTGCGCCCAGTCAGCCTGCAGGGCCGCGGTGAGGCCGTCCCCTTGGGCCAGGTGGCGGCCGCATTCCAACAAGAGATCCGCCTGCAAAAAAAAAAAAAGGGGGGGGGGCAGAGAAAGTGGCAGCCATTGGAGGCAGTGGGCAACCCCCCCTGGCCCGGCCAGAACCGTAGCCCTCCTCGTGCCCCCACCTTGAGCGCCTTCGCCTCCTGTAGCAGGTCCCACAAGCGCCGCCGTGATTCGGCGCTCAGCTCCAGGGTGCGGATCTTGGCGGAGGCACCGGCCTGCAACGACTCCAGGACCAGATTGGCCTGCAGGGAGAGCGGGGGGGGGGAAGTGGGGGGACACTGAGGTCTCCATCTGAGCAGCTCCCCCCCTATGGCCGTGCCGGCCCACAGGGCGCGACGCAGGCAATCCTCAGCGTACGAGTACAAGGCAGCCCCCAATTTTTGTTGCTAAGTGAGCTTCGCCCCATTTTACGACCTTCCTTGGCACCGCCCAGTTGTTAAGCAGCTCACATGGCTGTTAAGTGCACCCGGCTTCCCCCTCTGGGTTCGCTCCTCAGGAATTTGCAAAAACCGATCGCATGACGCTGTGACCGTTGTAAATACGAGCTGGCTGCCAAGCGTCCGAGTTTTGATCACGTGACCACGGGGAGGCCGGAACGGTCATTAAGTGTGAAAAGACCATGTAACTTTGGTCACCAAATGAACCGTCGTAAGTCGAGGACTACCTGTACAGGCACGGTCCTGGGGGAGCAAATTGGCAGCCGGGGATGCAAGCCTCCCCCCCAACTCAGCCCCCCCCATTCTGCCCCCGTTGCCCATGCCCAGCATTGCCAGCCAGCCCCCCCCCTCGCAGGGGGCTTTGGGGAGGAGGGGGAGGAGGGCTGGGGGCGCCTGGCTGGCTCAGCTTTTTTGGGGGGGTGGGGGGAGGAGGAAGAGACCCAGGCCCCTCTCTCCTACCGCCTCCTTCGCCTTCAGGGCGGCCTGCAGCTCCCCGGCCTTGGCCTGCTGCTTCTGGCCCCAGCGCTGGACCTGGGCCCGGCCCCGAGACAGCAGCCGGCCCAGCTGCTCCTGCTGCAGGAGAGGGAGAGGCCGGGTTCAGCCCGGAGGGAGGAAAAGAAGGGAAGGAAGGGAGGAAAAGAGAAGGAAGAGAGGGAAGAATGGAGGGAGGGAGGGAGGACAAGAGAGGAAGAGAGTGAGGAAGGAAAGAATGGAGGAAGGAAAAGAGGGGAAGGAAGGAAGGGAAGAATGAAGGGAAGAAAACAGGAATGAAGGAAGGGAAGAATGGAGGGAGGGAGGACAAGAGAGGAAGGGAGGAAGGAAGAAAGAAAGGGAAGAGTGGAGGGAGGAAAAGAGGGGAAGGAAGAGAGGAAAGAATGGAGGGAGGGAGGAAGAAAGGGAAGAATGGAGGGAGGGAGGACAAGCGAGAAAGGGAGGAAGGAAGGAAGGAAAGAATGGAGGGAGGAAAATAGGAGAAGGAAGGGAGGGAAGAATGGAGGGAGGAAAAAAGGAATGAAGGAAGGGAAGAATGGAGGGAGGAAAGGAGGGGAATGAAGGAAAGGAAGAATGGAGGGAGGGAGAAAAAGAGGGGAAGGAAGGGAGGGAAGAATGGCGGGAGGGAAGAAAGGAAATGAGAGGAAGGGAGGGAAAAAGGAGAGGGAGGGAGAGGAAAAAAGAAAAAAGAGAAAGAGGGGAGGGAGAAAAGAAGGAACAAGGATGAAAGAGGAAGGAAAGAGGAGAGAGAGAGGGAAGAAAAGAAGGAGAAAGGCAGAAGGAAAGAAGGGAGGGAGGAAGAAAGGGTGAAAGAGGGAGGAGATGAGAAAGGCAGAAGGGAGGGAGGGAGGGCCGCTCTCCCCCCACCCCCAGGGATGCTCACCTGCTCCTGCAGAGACCGCCGGTCGTCCTGGAGGTGCTGGAAGGAGGCCTCCACGGTGGCCTGGAGCTGCCTGGAGTGGGAGGACCACGCTCTCTGCCGAGGGGGGGGGGGAGGGCGCAGGTTGGGCAGGAAGGGGTATTCGTGCCCGCTTTCCCCCAGCCTGGCACCCTCCAGGGTTGGGACAGTCCGGGGATCCTGGCCCTCCGGCTGGGGAAAGGGGCTGCAACGGGCAGTCGGAAGCAACGGGCTAAACCCAGGCGCGAGGAAGGGGCTCCTGGACCTTTGGACACCCCCTGCCCCCCCACCCGACTCCCAGCAGCAGAGGGGGGAGCCTGTCCGCTTCTGATCGGCAGAAGGGGGGAGGGGGGACCCAGTTGCTGCTCTTCCTTCCTTAAGGAAGGGTCCAAAGACCCTCCTTAAGGAAGGGGTGGGGGTCTCCCGGGTCTTTCTTTAACAACTGCTAGCTTGAAGTCATGCTGCATCTCCCTGGGGATACAGGCAGTCCTCAACTTACGACTTAAGTCGTAAGTTGAGGACTTCCTGTATCCCCAGGGAGATGCAGTGACTTCAAACGGTTGCTAAGTGAGCAGCCGTAAAGAGAGGACCACCTGGGAGAGGGTTCCTGGGCCCGGCTTCCCACCGAAGTTGAGAGAGAACAGGGGAGCCGAGGCACCTGCCCCCCCCGGTCCCCAAGCCCCCTCCCCAAAGGGAGCAAGACCCGGTACTTGCCAGCTCCTCGTTGGCACCCTCCAGCCGCTGGGCCAGGGCCTGCCGGCTCTCCTGGCCCTCCTGCAGGGACTGGAACCGAAGCCGCAGCTCCCGGTAGAGACCGTGGTAGAGTCGCTCCGTCTGCCAAGAGAGAATAGAACAGGAGAGTTGGAAGGGGCCTCGGAGGTCTTCTAGTCTATCCCCCTGCCCAAACAAGAGACCCTGGCTCAGGGGTGGGGAACCTTGGCTCTTTTATGACTGGTGGACTTCAACTCCCAGAATTCCTGAGCCAGCCACGCTGAGGGGAAAGGGAGAGTTTTCAACCTGAGCCAGGCTGGCTCAGGAATTCTGGGAGCTGAAGTCCACCAGTCATAAAGGGGCCGTAGTTCCCCATGCTGGCTGAGGAATTCTGGAAGTTGAAGTCCACAAGTCATCCAGGGGGCCATACTTCCCCCATGCTGGCTCAGGAATTCTGGGAGTTGAAGTCCGCAAGTGATAAAGGGGTCCATAGTTCCCCCATGCTGGCTCAGGAATTCTGGGAGTTGAAGTCCACCAGTCATAAAGGGGCCGTAGTTCCCCATGCTGGCTCAGGAATTCTGGGAGTTGAAGTCCACAAGTCATCCTGGGGGCCATACTTCCCCCATGCTGGCTCAGGAATTCTGGGAGTTGAAGTCCACCAGTCATGAGGGGGCCATAGTTCCCCCATGCTGGCTCAGGAATTCTGGGAGTTGAAGTCCAGAAGTCATAAAGGGGCCATAGTTCCCCCATGCTGGCTCAGGAATTGCCCGATCCCTCCCACCAAAGTGGTACCCATTTATCTACTCGCATTTGCCTGCTTTCGAATTGCTAAGTGGGAGAGGAAAGGGAACTCACCCCGTTCCGTGACGTTTGGGTCTTGAACCTGGGCTGGTTGACCTATCCCGGCAGGTCACCCTGCTCTCCGACCCCCAGCTTACCTCGTTGGACTCGGGGGTGGGGGTCTGGGTGGCCACGTCCCTCTGGTCCGCTGGCCCCACCCGGGCTGCTGGGGGGCGGAAGTCCTGGGCGGCCCGGATCTGGTGCGAGAGGGCTTCCATGATGACCAGGGTGCTCTGCAGGCGCCCCTCCAGCTCGGTCCGGGACAGGCGGCTCAGCTGATCCCGGGAACAGCTGGGGAGACAGGAAGCCCCCCCCTCAGTCCAGGCAGGGCAGGGGGGCTCCCCCAGGGGTGACAGGTCTGGAAGATGGCTCTGCCAAGCCTCGGATTATTAGGACAGGTCTCTGGGTCTTGAATTGCCAATTTAACCCTCAGTGCCCTGGAATTTTGGGGTCCCCCCCATCAACGTTCTGCCGCGATGGAGCCCCCACACTTGGCTCTCAGCCAGGATAAAGGTAGACTAAGGCGGCTGCTGGCTGAACCCTGCCCCATGAGCCTCTCTCGGGCTATGCTAGTCTGGTCTTCCTCAACCGTGGCCCCTTTAAGACGAGTGGACTTCAACTCCCAGCATTCTCCAGCCAGCTATGGTGGCTGGGGAATTCTGGGAGTTGGAGTCCACACGTCTTAAAGTTGTATGGTTGAGAAATGCTGCCCAAGTCTCTTTGCAAACAAAGCAAAGCAAAACCTACGCCAGGGATAGGCAACCATGGCTCTTTTATGACTTGTGGACTTCAACTCCCAGAATTCCTGAGCCAGCCTGGCTCAGCTTGGAAACCTCTCCCTTTCCCCTCAGCATGGCTGGCTCAGGAATTCTGGGAGTTGAAGTCCACCAGTCATAAAAGAGTCAAGGTTGCCTACCCCTGACCTAGGTTACAGGCTGTTGCAACCCCAAGTTGCAAAAACTATTGCTGCGGGGCGAGATTGTGGAAAAATTGAGGGCTGGTTTGGTCTGGTGGTTAAGGTGCTGGGCTAGAGACCAGGAGATGGTGAGTTCTAGTTCAGGGCTTTTCAAGCAGTGGTATGGGTACCAACTGTGGTCCATTGGCACCTGGCAGGTGATACGCAACCATCCTAGAAAAGGGGTAGCGGGGAGGGGAATGAGCTGAACTGGCAGCAGCACCACACAGGCCTGAGTGAGAGACGGCTGGAGCTGCAGGGCTGTCAGGGCTCAGCGGAAGCACCAGGATCAGCACCAGGCTCCAGCTGGAGCTCGGCGCTGATCCTGGTGTTTCTGCTGAGCCCTGAAAAAGCACCAAAGCTGGAGCTCAGCGCTGATCCTGGTGCTTCTGCTGAGCCCAGAAGAAGCGCCGATCAGCTGGAATGTGGCAGCCTCTCCAGGGTCTTGTGATTTACATTCAGATGCTTGGCAACTGATTCATATTTATGACGGTCACAGTGTCACAGGGTCATGGGAAGCAACCAAAACCTGCTGCAACCACCCAGCAGACGGGGGAGGGGGGGGAATAAAAACCAAACCCACCCCACCCCCGCTGCCAATCCCCAACAAAAATGCTCCCAACAATGAAAACCTCGGACAGGAGGAAGAGCGCCGCCGGGCGGGCTGGCAGGTGTCTTGCTCGGCTGTGGCTTGGGGGACACTTTTTTCAGGGCCATTGTAACTTCGAACAGTCACTAAGCGAACTGTTGTAAGTCGAGGACTACCTGTACCACCCATTCCTCACCCTCTCTTCTCCCTTCCCCCGAACTCCCAGCCAGAGCGACAATGGGAAAACGTGGCCTGGCTGCCTCAGTTTCCCCCCGGGCCCCAGCCTTGAAGGGCCGGTGAAGGTATGGGGGGGGACCCTCTGCGCCAGGCCCTTCCATCAGACTTACTGCCAGAGGAGGGAGTCGGTCTCGGCTGTGCTGTCGGTGGTGGTGGCCTTCTCCACAGGGGAGGTGTTAACGCCAGCCTCCCGGAAGCTCAGCTGGGAGGTCCAGGCAGCTGCGGACGCCACAGAGACGGGGGCGACGCTGGTGCCCTGATTTTTCCGTGGGAGGCTGCAGGCTTGGGCACAGGCGGGGCAGGCAGGGCTCCCCCCTTTGGGGCCTGGCCAAGAGGGGTCCATTGCTGCTGGAGACACCCCAAGTCCATCCTCCAGAACGCTCAGAGGAGACCCCCAGAGGCCGTGGCACCCGCAGCCCGCCAGGCAGATACGGGCAGGGCCCGAGTCCTGGCACAGGACAGGCCGTTCCTGGCCCTCTGGGGAGGCCGAGGCATCAGCCTCCGGGGCAGCCGAGCCAGGTAAGGGGGCCGGGCTTGGCTCCGAGGGGCTCTTTGCCCCCAAGTCCTGGCAGCTCACAGGGGTTGCCCAGGCTCCTGCAGACGCCCCCGAGACAGGCGTGCTGGTACGTTGGTCCTGCAGCAAGGCCGGAGGCAGGCAGGGGCTCCTGTGAGACTCCGGGGGACCAGGGCTGGCAGTGGCCCCCAGCTCAAGGGTCCGGGTGCTCCCCTCCTCCTCCTCCTCCTGGGGGGTCCCGGGTGCGAGGCTGCGGCGGAGGTCGGCGAGCATGGGCGAAGCGGGCAGGAGCTGCTCCAGCCAGACCAGGGGGGCCGTCCAGGAGATGGTGCCAGGTGCGGGTGATCCGTGGGGCCCATCCTGGGCAGAGGAATCCCCCGGGTCCTGAGGTCAAACAGGGGGAGGTTAAATGGGGGGGGGGAGAGACTCCAACTGCCATTGCAGAGGGAACAGGGCCCAGAGCGGGAGGCTGGCACGGCCCCTCCCTGACTCTGCAGGGGGCCTTGGCTTACAGCACAGCCTGGCTCGGGAGGAGGAACCCACAGAGGGGCCAGAAGGACCCAAAGCGGATTAGGTGCCCAGGGTTTCTAGTCCTCAAGACTTTCAGCCGCCCTCCCCCTTGGACTCTCAACCACGAGAAGATACGGGGCCCGTTTCACACTTTCCACAGAACTCCCGGGGAAGAGAAGCCTCCGCGCAGTTTCGATTCTTGCCCCCGACACGGAAGTCGGCCAAACACGCGTCCCCTTCCCCACTTAAGCGCCCCGTCTGAGACCCTCCCAACAGCTGGGCGGCGGCAGCTTCCACCGCAGGGAGGGCGACACCGGCAGCCCCGGCTGCAAAAGCCGCTGGGGAGGATGGGCCTTGCAGTCCAGCCCCTCGGAAGCCCCCCCGCCCCCTTCCCAGCGCCCCGCACCCACCTGGACCCCCGACTCAGCCATGCCGGAGAGACTCGCCGCCGCCACCGCGGGTTTTTTTGAATGAAACCGCCGCCGCGCCTCCTCTGATTGGTCGCGTGACGTCATCGGCGGCGGGAGGGGGAGGGGCCCACCGCCAAGCCACGCCCATCGGCCCTGTTCCAGGACGCTGATTGGCGGGGACGCCACAGCTCGCGCAGCACACAGCTGCGCGCGTCTCTCCCTGCTCCCTTCCGAGTCGTGGAAATACTCCGACACGCGTCTTGTAGCTGCTGACGGTCAGGAGTAAACGTTATTTTCCCGCAGCAGAAAGGATGTTTGCCCGGGGCTAGAGTAGTGAAGGTCAAGGAGTTTAGAATTTATTTGATAAGTGTCTAGTTTTTAATTATATTTTTTTTGTAACGTGGGAATGTAACGAAGAAGCTTGCCCGGAAAACCAGATATATGTAACTCGTTAACCACAACGTAAAGAGCACCTGGAGGCAGGAGAAGGAGTAACCGGTAAAAGACATTAAAGAGAGATCCAGCCTGGAAACCATTTCCTGGTAGTGAGAACAATTAATCGGTGGAGCTGCAGGCTTTCAAAAATAAGACATTTGACTGGGATGCTACAGAGCTGTCTTTCTCCACCTTGGCCTTTGAAGACGGGTGGACTTCCAGTTGAAATCCACTCGTCTTCAAACCACCAGGTTGGAGAAACACTAGTAATAGTAGTAAAGTTGGAAGGGACCTTGGAGGTCATCTAGTCCAACCCCATGCTCAGGCAGGAAACCCTATACCTCGGACCAATGGCTGTCCAGTCTCTTCTTAAAAACTTCCAGTGTTGGAGCATTTACTGTTTCTGGAGGCAGGTGGTTCCACTGGTTAATTGTTCTCACTGTCAGGGAAGTTTCTCCTTAGTTCTAGGTTGCTTCTCTCCCTGATTAGTTTCCACCAGTTGCTTCTTGTCCTGCCTTCAGGTGCTTTGGAAAATAGTTTAATTCCCTCTTCTTTATGGAAGCCCCTGAGATATTGGAATACTGCTATCATGTCCCCCCTTGTCCTTCTCTTCGTTAAACTAGACATACCCAATTCGTGTGTATATATATATACACCAGCCTGAAGATGACGAATGTGACTTCGTCGAAACGTTGCCAAGACACTTCCAATTTTACGCGGGAGAAAACCCGAACAACCAAAGACCTATATACAAATACCCGCGAAAACCTCAGAAAACATATATATATATATATATGTAGGTCCCGCGAAAACCTCAGAAAAACATATATATATATATATATATATATATATATATATATATATATATATATATATATATATATAATATATATATAATAATAATAATAATAGTAAAGTTGGAAGGGACCTTGGAGGTCATCTAGTCCAACCCCCTGCTCGGGCAGGAAACCCTACACCATTTCGGACAAATGGCTGTCCAGTCTCTTCTTAAAAACTTCCAGTGTTGGAGCATTTACTGCTTCTGGAGGCAAGGCTGTTCCACTGATTAATTGTTCTCACTGTCAGGAAGTTTCTCCTTAGTTCTAGGTTGCTTCTCTCCTTGATTAGTTTCCACCCGTTGCTTCTTGTCCTGCCTTCAGGTGCTTTGGAAAATAGCTTAATTCCCTCTTCTTTATGGCAGCCCCTGAGATATTGGAATACTGCTATCATGTCCCCCCTTGTCCTTCTCTTCGTTAAACTAGACATACCCAATTCTAGCAACCGTTCCTTATATGTTTTAGCCTCCAGTCCCCTAATCATCTTTGTTGCTCTTCTCTGTACTCTTTCTAGAGTCTCAACATCTTTTTTACATCGTGGTGACCAAAACTGGATGCAGTATTCCAAGTGTGGCCTTACCAAGGCATTGAAGAGTGGTATTAATACTTCACGTGATCTTGATTCTATCCCTCTGTTAATGCAGCCTAGCACTGTGTTGGCCTTTTTGGCAGCTGCAGCACACTGCTGGCTCATATTTAAGTGATTGTCTACTAGGACTCCGAGGTCCCTCTCACAGTTACTACTATTGAGCATGGTGCCACCTATGCTGTACTTGTGCATTTGGTTTTTCTTGCCTAAATGTAGAACCTTGCTTTTTTCACCATTGAATTTCATTTTGTTAGTTAGTGCCCAGTGTTCAAGTCTGTCCAGATCCTTCTGTATCTGAAGCCTGTCTTCTGGAGTGTTGGCTATTCCTGCCAGCTTGGTGTCATCTGCAAATTTGATGAGTTCCCCATCTATCCCTTCATCCAAATCGTTGATGAAGATGTTGAAGAGTACTGGGCCCAGAACAGAGCCCTGGGGCACCCCACTACACACTTCCCTCCATATAGATGCAGTTCCATTGAGGACCACTCGCTGAGTACGGCCGGTCAGCCAGCTACGGATCCATCTGGTGGTGGTTCTGTCTACCCCACATTTTTCTATCTTGTCAAGTAGTAGGTTGTGATCTACTTTATCAAATGCCTTACTGAAGTCCAAGTAAATTATGTCCACAGCATTCCTCTGATCCACTAATTTTGTCACTTGGTCAAAGAATGCAATAAGATTTGTCTGGCATGATCTATTTTTGACAAACCCATGTTGGCTTTTAGTAATGACTTTGTTTGCCTCTAGGTGTTCGTTGATTCGTTGTTTGATTATCTTTTCCAGGATCTTCCCAGGTATTGAGGTCAGGCTGATAGGTCTGTAATTTCCTGGATCCATTTTTTTTCCTTTTTTGAGGATGGGAACTACATCAGCTCTTTTCCAGTCCTCTGGTAGTTCCCCTGTGTTCCAGGATCTTTGAAAAATATAGTTCAGTGGCTCCGATATCACATCTGCCAGTTCCTTGAGAACTCTGGGGTGTAATCCGTCTGGTCCTGGCGATTTGAACTCATCTAGGCTGGACAGGTGCTCACTAACGATTTTCTTGCCTATCTTAACTTGTGTTTCTGTTTTGTTTTTTGTGGCACTATTTTTGATAGGTTGGTCTGTTTTTTCCCTTTGTGTAAAGACAGATGCAAAAAATGAGTTAAATAGTTCTGCTTTCTCCCTGTTGCTTGTCACCTTCTTGCCACTTCCACCCACTAATGGACCAATCATTTCCTTCACTTTTTTCTTGTTTTTTACATGTTGAAAGAAGCTTTTTTTGTTATTTTTGACTTTGGTCGCAAGCCTCAGTTCATTTTGAGCCTTGGCTTTCTTCACTTCATCTTTGCAGGCTCGGGCTATTTGCTGATATTCTGACTTAGTTATGTTCCCCTCTTTCCACTTTCTATACTTGTCCTTTTTATCTTTCAATTTGTCAGAGAGTTCTTTATGCAGCCATGCTGGTTTCTTTTGAGAGCTGTTATTTTTCCTCTTTGTTGGTATTGTGCTAGACTGTGCTTTTATTATCTCATTTTTCAAAATTTCCCAAGCTTCTTGAGTTGTTTTCCCCTTGAGGATTCTCATCCATGGAATCCTTCCCAAGCCCTCTCTAAGTTTATTGAAATTAGCTCTCTTGAAGTCCAAGACTCTAGTTTGACTGTGTTCTATTGGTTGTGCTTCTATAATGTTGAATTCTAATATTGCATGATCACTTCCTCCCAGGGTTCCTATGGCTCCAACACCGTCTATCATTTCATCTCTGTTAGTGAGAATTAGATCCAAAATGGCTAATCCCCTAGTTCCATTCTCTACTTTTTGGGAGACAAAGTTGTCTGCTAGGTTTGCCAGGAACCTGTTTGATCTTCCACTTGGTGCGGAGTTTGTCTCCCAGTTGATGTCAGGGTAGTTAAAGTCCCCCATTACTATTGTGATGTGCTTCCTACATACCTTAGTTAGCTGACTAGCAAAAAGTTCATCTATTTCCTCTGTTTGGTTGGGTGGTCTGTAGTATACACCTATGGCAATGTCATTTCCCCCCCCTTTTATATTGACCCAAATGCATTCAAGACAGTTTTTATCATTGTTGTACTCTATTTCTGTGAAGATGTAGTTATTTCTTATATAGAGAGCAACTCCACCTCCTCTTTTATTTGGTCTGTTTCTTTTAAATAATTTAAATCCCTCTAGCTGTGTGTTCCATGTGTGAGTTTCATCCCACCATGTTTCCGTAATGGCAACAATATCGTATCTGCCCTCATTAACCTGAATTTCTAGTTCACCCTGTTTGCTGTTCATACTTTGTGCATTGGTGTATAAACATTTGAGTCCTTTGTGGGTGGCCCTGTGTTTCCTTTCTACATAACCTGTGTGGTGCCTGAGTTCCCCTATTGTCTTACCACCTATTTATATATAATATATATATAATATATATATATATACATATATATATATATACGTATACATATACATACACACACACACACACACACACACCCCAAGGTGTCGTAAAGAGGTATTAACACTTTACGTGATCTTGATCCTGTTTATACAACCCAGGATTGTACTAGCTTTTTTGGCTGCTGCTGCACATGGCTGGCTCCTGGTCAAGGGATCGTCCACCTGGACTCCAAGGTCCTTCTCACAGTGGCTGTTTTTAAGCCAGGTCTTGCCCAGTCTGTACTTAAACCTTTGATTTTTCCTGCCTAAATGTACAACTTTGCTTTTCTCCACATTAAACTCATTTTTTTGGGCAGGGCCCATTGTTCCAGTTGGTCAAGATCTTTTTGGATCCTGAGGTTGTCTTCTAGGGTGTTAATTAATCCTACCAGTTTAGTGTCATCTGCAACTTTTATGAGTTCCCCTTCAATTCCCTCATCTAAGTCGTTGATGAAGATATTGAAGAGTTTACTGGGCCTAAGATGGAGCCTTGTGGTACCCCACTGCTTATTTCCCTCCATGTGGATGTAGTGCCACTGAGGATTACTCGTTGGTTTCCCAGTTTGGAGACAGAAGCCTTTGAGCTGAAACGCAACAATAAAATTGTTAAAGGATCTTCCGAGTCAGTGGCTAATCGGAGTGAGCAGGCAGAGGAGGAATCCGAAGGCAGCTATGTGAACGTTACGATTGGTGGACTTCAACTCCCAGAATTCCTCAGCCTCCCCAGGAATTCTGGGAGTTGAAGTCCACAGGTGATAAAGTTGCCATCGGTCCCCTCCCTGGCCTTAGGCCAATTTGGGTTTGGAGGTGCCCCTCTGTGCTAGGGGAGACAGGAGGTAGCAAGGAACACCTGTAGGAAATTCTTTTATTGCTCTGGAAGAAACAGGAAATATATAAATATATATGTACGTGCTAAACCTAGAACGCAATAGAATGTCAACGTGATTGGAAGGAAAATGGGAAAAACTAAACGGTAAACAGAAACCCTGCTCAGAGGATCTCATTGCTCAGAATTCAGCAGGGGGGTCTTTTAAGCAACTTAGGCAGGAATTAGAGTAGGGGGTGTCCAACTTAGGGAGCTTTAAGACCTGTGGACTACAGCTCCCAGAATTCCCCAGCCAGCTTTGCTGGCTGGGGAATTCTGGGAACTGTAGTCCACAGGTCTTAAAGCTCCCAAGGTGGGATGGACAGCCTGGATTAGAAGGAGCTCTTTATTGTGTAAACCCTGAGTAGCCCCCCCCAGACCCTGAACGATGTCCCCCCTCCCCAGAACAGCAAGCAGAGACACTGCAGAGGCCCCCAAAAGAGATTCCCAGGGGGAGACGGAGGGCAAAGCCCCCTGCAGGGAGGCAGTCTGCAGCTAGAAAAGTCTGAACCAGTAGAGCGTCCTCGACGTACGACACAATTTAGCCCAAAGTTCCTGTTGCCGAGCGAGACAGACGTTAAGTGAGTTTTGCCCCATTTTACGTCCTTTCTTGCTATAGACGTGAATCCCTGCAGTTGTTAGGAACACGGCCGTTAATCCGGCTTGCCTCATTGACTTTGCTGGTCAATAGGTCGACAAAGGGGATCAAGTGAATAGAATAGAATAGAATAGAATAGAATAGAATAGAATAGAATAGAATAGAATAGAATAGAATAGAATAGAATAGAATAGAATAAATAGGATAGAACAGAATAGAATAAGAATAGAAACAGAATAGAAATAATAATAGAATAGAATAGAAATAGAAGTAATAGAATAGAATAGAATGTAGAGTAGAATAGAAATAATAGAATAGAAATAGAATAGAATAAGAATAGAAATAGAATAGAAATAATAATAGAATAGAATTAGAGTGATGATAAGAATAGAACAGAATAGAATAGAATATAGTGTAGAGTAGAATAGAATACAGAATAGAATAAATAGGATAGGATAGAACAGAATAGAAATAAGAATAGAATAGAAATAGAAGTAATAGAATAGAATAGAATAGAATAGAATAGAATAGAATAGAGAATGGAATAAATAGGATAGGATAGGATAGAATAGAACAGAATAAAATTAATAATAGAATAGAATTAGAGTGATAAGAATAGAATAGAATAGAATAGAATAGAATAGAATAGAATAGAATAGGAATATAGAGTAGAATAGAATAGGAATATAGAATATAGAAAGAATAGAATAGAATAGAATAAAATAGAATAGAATGTAGAGTAGAATAGAACAGAATAGAAATAGAATAGAAATAATAGAATAGAATTAGAATAGAATAGAAATAATAGAATAGAATTAGAATAGAATAGAAATAATAGAATAGAAATAGAATAGAATAGAAATAGAATAGAATAAGAATAGAAATAATAATAGAATAGAATAAGAGTGATGATAAGAATAGAACAGAATAGAATAGAATATAGTGTAGAGTAGAATAGAATAGGAATATAGAATATAGAAAGAATAGAATAGAATAGAATGTAGAGTAGAATAGAACAGAATAGAATACAGAATAGAATAAATAGGATAGGATAGAATAGAACAGAATAGAATTAGAATAGAATTAGAATAGAATTAGAATAGAATAGAAATAATAGAGTAGAATAGAATAAGAATAGATATAGAATAGAAATAATAATAGAATAGGAGTGATGATAAGAAGAATAGAATAGAATAGGAGATGGAAGGGACCTTGGAGGTCTTCTAGTCCAGCCCCCCCTCTCAAGCAGGAGAACCTAGACCGTCTCAGAAAGGTGAGTATGACTCCGTTGCCCAGCATTTCAATTTTGATCATGTAACCATGGGGGATCAAGTCCTAAGTCGCTTTTTTCAGTGCCGCTGTTAACTTCGAACAGTCACTAAGTCAACGGCTGTAAGACGAGGACTGCCTGCATTTAACAATATCCAAACTGGAGGAAGAACAGAACTTTCCCATCCTGTGGGCTGCCCTCCGCCCATCCCACTCTGCAAATCTGCCTCTTCTGCCTCCCAACCTTGCTGGTCCCCAAACCCACACCCGCCCTTCCTTCCCGAAGCACAAGGGCTGGGGGGGGGGGGCGAAGGAAGCTGGTGCCCAGGTCCTGCGGGTGGCAACGGACACCCGCCTTGGAGATTTACGGTGGGGTCTTGGCCCGAGGATCCACACCAAGAAGGGCCTGCCAAGAGCCCCTCTTGGGCACCGCTGGGGCACCCCGGGGAATGCCAGTGGCTCAGGACCCCCCCAGGTCACAGTCAAACTCCAAGAAGGCATCAGCGTCCGCTGGGGGGCTCTTGAGTTGCTGCCAGCCCAGGGCAAAGTCTGCCGGTTGCTTCCTGAGGACGTCGGCATCGAAGCTCATGCCGCAGAAGAAGAGCTGGGCGCGGAAGTGGTGGAGGCGGCAGGGCCGGCGCTGAGGGTCCTGGCACAGGAGCTGGGAGGGGGAGAGAGGGGAGCGGGGGCTACTTGACAAGCACCTGGATGATGCTTGTTCAGGTGTGGGCCTTCCCCAGTCCTGGGTGGCGCAAGTTGGCACTTCCTCCGACTCAGCCGAAGGAATAGAATAGAATAAAATAGAACAGAAATAAAACAGAATTACCACAGAATAGAATAGAATGGAATGGAACAGAATATAGAATGAAAGGGGATCAAGTGAATAGAATAGAATAGAATAATGAATAGAATAGGGAATAGAATAGAATAGAATAGAATAGAATAGAATAGAATAGAATAGAATAGAATAGAATAGAATATAGAATAGAATAATGAATAGAATAGAAATAAGAAATAGAATAGAATTAAAATAAGGAATAGAATAGAATAGAATAGAATATAGAATAGAATAATGAATAGAATAGAATAGAAATAAGAAATAGAATAGAATTAAAATAAGGAATAGAATCAACTAGAATAGAATAGAATAGTTAGAATTAAAATAAGGAATAGAATACAATAGAATAAGAATTAGAATAGAAATAATAGAATATAACGTAACAGAATAGAATAGAATGTAGAATAGGATAGGATAGCAGCTGGAAGGGACCTTGGAGGTCTTCTAGTCCAGCCCCCTGCTCAAGTAGGAGGACCTATACCATTTCAGATGTGGATAAGCCCCCCTTGCAGAACCTTCAGTAAGCAGGAAAACCCAGATCTTCATAGATTCCTGGGGGAGGGCTTCTACGGAAGGGGGGGGCAAATGGGGGGGGGCAGGAGATGGACGTGAACTCACCTCGCTGAGCAGGAGTCGGAGGCCCCAGCTGAGTCCGGCCGGGATGGCGTATGCGCTGCGCTTCACGCTCCGCAGCATGGCCACGTGGTCCCGCTCTGGGGGGACCGGGAACTGGGGAGGCAAAGACCCCATTCACCCCACACCTCTTTGGCTGCTGAGCCACCTGCAGCAGCAGCTGCAGACCCTCCCCCTCGACCCCTCGGGACGGAACTGAGGGTCAGCCAGGCAGAATTGTAGAACAGCAGCCGCCCGTTGACTTGTATACCGCTTCACCCGGTGCTTGACAGCCCCCTTCTGAGCGGTTTACAGAATCAGCCACTTGCCCCCCCCATAACAATCTGGGTCCTCGTTTTACCGACCTCGGAAGGACGGAAGGCTGAGTCAACCTCGAACTGATCAGGATGGAACTGCTGGCGGTGGGCAGAGTTGGCCTGCAATGCTGCGCTCTAACCGCTGCGACACCAAAGGGGGCACTGGCACCAAAGAGGCTTAAACAAGCCAGAGTGGAAGCACGGTGGCTTAATGGAGCTCAGCCAGCCTCCCTCTCTGCCTCTGTGGCACTTATCCTAGACACCTAGGGCCGGAAGGGACCTTGGAGGTCATCTAGCCCTACCCCCTGCCCATTCAACCTCAGACAAACGGTTGCCCGATCCTGGAAAGCTCCAGCCATCCAGCCTGGCTGGCTGCTGGTGGGGGCAGGTTCCTGGGGTACCGAGGGACCCCCGTCCTTGTCCTTACCTGCCCAGTGGCCATCGCAAACAGCAGCACCCCCAGGGACCACCAGTCGGCGGCGTGCGCGTACGGACCGCCTCTCAGCACTTCTGGGGCTGCCCCAGAGGAAGAGCAGAGGGTCACTCATCTTGCCTGCCTGGCTGACCCCCCCCCTCTTCCCCCTCCCCGCAGCCTCCCCCTCTCCTCCCGACTGCCTTACCCATGCACTGGAGGGTCCCGCAGATGGTGAAGGCTCGCCGGCCCCAGGGCAGATGCCGCGAGAGGCCAAAATCGGCCAGCTTCAGGTGACCTGGGTCAGGTGGGGCATAAAGCAGAGAGAGATCCTGAATCCAGAGCAACCAAGGTGGTCCCCGACTTACGACTACAATTTCTGTCGCTAAGCGAGACGTGTTGCGTTTTCCCCATTTTACGACCTTTCTTGCCACCGTTCTTAGTGCAGTCGTTAAATGAGTCACACGGTTGTTAAGGGAATCCCTCTCCCCCCACTGAGCTTGCTGGTCAGAAGGCCGCAGAAGGGGATCACAGGACCCCAGGACACTGCGACCGTCGTAAATGTGAGTCAATTGCCAAGCGCCTGAATTTCGATCAGGTGACCAGGAGGATGGCGCAACGGTCATAACTGTGAAAAATGGTCCCAAGTCCCTTTTTCTACCGCCGTTGAAATTTTGAACGGTCACAAAATGAACCGTTGCAAGTCGAGGACTACCGGTAGGGCAGCTTGACCTGTGGACTTCAACTCCCAGAATTCCCGAGCCTTCAAGTTATGACGTTAACAGAGCCCACCCACGACAGTCATAAGTCAGAACAGTATTAAAATTTTATCACGTTACAATTTGAAGCAATCGTTAAGCGAATGCTGCGTCGTTAAGCGAACCATCGGGCGTAGCTTTGCCGAAAACCAGAAGGGCTGGTTTTCAGCAAAACGGTCGTGAAATGGGGCCACAGGAGCGTCCGACATGTGGTCACGTGACCGCAGAGAAAGTCCGACTATCAGAATTCTGGGGCTGGGTCACGAGTCCGCTTTTTGAGGGGGTGGGCTGTAACTTCGAACGTTCGCTGGGGTCTCTCTGAATAGGCCGGGCTAGGAATTCTGGGAGTTGAAGTCCACAGGTAGTCAAGTTGCCCACAGCTGCCCAACCCTGATCCGGTGGCTGCAGGGAAAAGGGAGAGCCGTCCTTTTGCATACACACACACACACACACACCCCGCTTGGGGGGAAACTCTGCCTCAGAGCATCCAGCCTGGGCTGGGTAACAGCTGGCTAAACAGCTGGTTCAAGACTGGAGCATCTCAGCCTCACGGGGACCGGCCACGTGCCTCCCGCAGCCTTCCCAGCTGGCTGGTGGGCGTTCCACTTACTGCCCGTCCCTGCAGCCGAGTCAGCTCTCCAGCAACCCTTGAATGAGGCTGCGAGGCCAGTCGAGAAGGGAGGGTGCCCGTCGGGCGATGGGGTGGTGCGGAGAGTGAGGAAGACCCCTCCCCTCCTTCTCTTCCCCCTCCCACGCTTATTACCTTGTTCATCTAAGAGGATGTTTTCCATCTGCAAAGAAAGCAAAAAAATAGGGCAACTCTTGGCAGACATTTGAGAATCAGCGCGCACTGCCCACTCCCTGGGCCCCCACTCAGGGAAAAGGCCAGGGTCCCATACCTTGATGTCCCGGTGCACAATACCCTGGTTGTGAAGATAGGCTGAAAAGAAAAAGAGCGTCAATAAAGGAGAATATTCGTAACTCAGGGTTGAACTTGGTGCTCTCTGAGCTGGGTGGTTTTCTTGCAGACGTTTCACGACCCAACTAGGGAACATCATCAGTGCTACAAGGGAGGAGAGAGTTGCGAGGAGGAGGAGGAGGAAGAGGAGGAGGAGGAGGAGGGGGGGAAAGGAGGAACTGTGGGGTCCTTGCTGCTCTCTGAGCTGGGTGGTTTTCTTGCAGATGTTTCACGACCCAACTACTTAAAGTCATCAGCGTTAGAAAGGAGGGGGATTTGACCTCAATTTAACACTCCTTACTAGTATAATGATGATGTTACCCAGTTGGGTCACGAAACGTCAGGGAGAAAACCACCCAGCTCAGAGAGCACCAAACAAAAAGGCACCTGAGAAACCTCCGTAAGCCCTGCCTCTTCCAGAGGGGGGGAGGGTGCGGTTCCACTTCAAAAGTCACAGCATTGCCAGGGTCCCATGATCTAAATTTGGGTGCTGGGCAAAGGGCAGGTGTGTTTGTGACCCTTGCGGCACCCTGGGCTCACCTGGTGGCCCTCTGCAGCCTTCCCAGCCAGCTCCCAACGTGCAGCACAGCCCATTCAAAGTTAATACCGCATGAGTCACTTAAGAACTGTGGCAAAAGTAAAGTGTTTGTAAAATGGGGCAAAACTCACATAATAATAGTAATAATAGTAATAGTAATAGTAGTAATAATAATAATAATAATAATAATAATAATAGGAGATGGAAGGGGCCTTGGAGGTCATCTAGTCCAACCCCCTGCTCAGGCAGGAGACCCTATACCATTTCGGATAAATGGCTGTCCAGTCTCTTCTTAAACACTTCCACTGGTTAATTGTTCTAACTGTCAGGACGTTTCTCCTTCGTTCTAGCTTGCTTCTCTCCTTGATGAGTTTCCATCCGTTGCTTCTTGTCCTGCCTTCAGGGGCTTTGCAAAAAAGCTTGACTCCCTCTTCTTTGGGGCAGCCCCTGAGATACTGGAAGGCTGCTATCCTGTCCCCCCTCGTCCTTCTCTTTGTTAAACTAGACATCCCCAATTGCAGCAGCCGTTCCTTATGTTTTAGCCTTCAGTCCCCTGATCCTCTTTGTTGCTCTTCTCTGTACTCTTTCCAGAGTCTCAACATCTTTTTCACATAGTGGTGACCAAAACTGGATGCCGTATTCCAAGTGTGGCCTTACCAAGGCCTTGTAAAGTGCTATTAACTCTTCACCTGATCTTGATTCTATCCCTCTGTTAATGCAGCCCAGCACTGTGTTGGCTTTTTAAAACAATGGTCTCACCTAGCAGTGGAAATTTTGGACTTCAGCTGAGGACCAGCTACACATCACCACATTACAAAAATGATGTTGAGACTTTGGAAGAAGTGCAAAGAAGAGCAACTAAGATGATTAAAGGCCTGGAGACTAAAACATATGAAGAACAGCTGCAGGACTTGGGCTTGGCTAGTCTAAGGAAAAGAAGGACTAGGGACTAGGGACATGATAGCCGTGTTCTGGTATTTGAGGGGCTGCCACAAAGAAGAGGGGGTCAAATTATTCTCAAAAAAAGCCTGAAGGCAGGACAAGAAATAAATGGATGGAAACAAATGAAGGAGAGAAGCAATCTGGAATTAAGGAGAAACTTCCTAACAGTGAGGACAATTAACCAGTGGAACAGCTTGCCACCAGAAGTTGTGGGCCTGTCATCACTGGAGGTTTTTATGAAAAGATTGGACAGCCACTTGTCTGAAATGGCATAGGGTCTTCTGTTTGAACGGGGGGCTGGACTAGAAGACCTCCAAGGTCCCTTCCAGCTCTATTCTAATTCTGATTCTCTTGTAGTTAATTTACACTCGCATTAAGTGTGGCTGCACTTTTTAAGTTTTACTACCGTGGGGGGGGCACTTAATTACAATAAAAGGTTTGTGATGCCGTGTAGATAACCAACATAAAAGTAAAGACACAGGACTGAGGTTTCTGGCAGGCCCAAGAGATAATCTCAGGGGGGTCTTGGCCATGCAGCGCCTGGCGCAGCCCCTCACTCACCCAAAACCAGCACGAGCTCCGTGGCAAAGAGCCGGATGGCGCCTTCAGCCAAGGGTCCCGACGACTTCCAGAGTGTGAACAGATCCCCGGAGCTGCAGTAGCTGCACACTGGAAGGGATTGGGCGGGGGGGGGGTGAGAAAAGAGACCCATCAATCACTCAAGAAGCCTGGCAGCTAATCCTGCTTCTCTCCCCCCTCCCATTGCCCCACCAACACACACACACACACACACACATTACAAAGGCTGAAGGACAATCCGCAGACTGGGATTGGCCAAATGGGGGGGGGGAGAAAAAAAGGAGATTTATGGCTGCAGAGGTCAGGAAATCTGGGGGAATTGGAGCAAGCTGTGGAAAGGGGGGGGCACACAGGAGGAGAGGAAGGGAGGGGGGGGTCTCTAGGCTACGTAAGCCCACCGGGCAGATGCTCACTCACTCATGAAGAGATGGTGCTTTCCTTGCCAGCTGTCCCCTAAACAGTGGAGGAATGGGTGGCGCAGCTGCCTCTGGGGAGGAAGAGAAACGGGGGTCAGAACAAGCCAGCTTGGGGGTTCACTATCTGGGGGTGTGGGGGCGTGTAGAATCAGGCTAGGGAATTTAAAAAGAACCCCCCCCCCAAAAAAAACAAGAGGAGAGAAAAAAAAGCAGGACCTCCCAGGCAAATAATAAAAGCCATGATCTCGGTGTCACTCGGTAGAAATCTAGGACAATTCCAGGGGTGGGACTTTCCGGGGTGGGAGACGGGCTTCCTTTCCTTCCCCCCCCCCCCAGCTATGTACTGCGTAAAAAACAGGGGTGTCCAAGTTTGGCAACTTTTTAAGACTTCAATTCCCAGAATTCGCCAGCCAGCTAGACCAGGGGGGTCCCAAACTTGGCAACTTGAAGACCTGTGGACTACAACTCCCAGAATTCCCCAGCCAGCAGAGCTGGCTGGGGAATTCTGGGAGTTGCAGCCCACAGGTCTTCAAGTTACTAAGGTTGGACACCCCCGCCCCCCCCCATTTCCAAAAGGAAAGGAGAAAGACCTTTAGGAACCACTGGATTTAACATCCGCAACAGGGACCAGTTTAAAATTCACGGTGCTTTTTTTTAACCCAGTTGTATTTAAGCAGCCCCCACAAACAACCCCCCCTTCAAGCTGTGCATCACTGGGGCAGGGGCAGAGCCTATGGGGCACTGCCTTTAGAACCAGCGCCTCCAAGAGTAACCGGCCCTGCCTGGCCTTTGGCGGTTCATAAAGTCCAGCGTTTGTTTTTAAAGTGGTTCCCTCTGTTCTAATGGAATCCTTGCAGCCTGCTGGGCGCATTTCAATAAAGATGGGAAACGGGAGTTATAGTTCCTGGCGTTCCCACACGCTGCACCTGCCTTTGTCACCACCTGACGGAGTCGCTTTTCAGAGTGACGTCGAGGCAATGTAAGTTTAATAAATACAACCAATAAAGATAAAAGCTATCCAGTAATAAAGCATTATTGATTAGTGATTGATTTCAAGGTAAATATTAGTCCCGCCTTAGGCATGAAAGGAGCTGGGTGACTTTGGGCCAATCACTGGGAGACGGTGAGTTCTAGTCCCGCCTTAGGGATGAAAGCCAGCTGGGTGACTCTGGGCCAATCACCAGGAGACGGTGAGTTCAAGTCCCGCCTTAGGCATGAAAGATGGCTGTGTGACTTTGGGCCAATCACTGGGAGACAGAGAGTTCTAGTTCTGCCTTAGGCATGAAAGCCAGCTTGGTGACTTTGGGCCAATCACCAGGAGACGGTGAGTTCTAGTCCCGCCTTAGGGATGAAAGCCAAACTAGGTGACTTTGGGCCAATCACCAGGAGACAGTGAATTCTAGTCCTGCCTTAGGAAGAAAGATGGCTGGGTGACTTTGGGCCAATCACCGGGAGACGGTGAGTTCTAGTCCCGCCTTAGGCATGAAAGCCAACTGGGTGACTCTGGGGCAATCACCAGGAGACGGTGAGTTCTAGCCCTGCCTTAGTCATGAAAGCTGGCTTGGTGACTTTGGGCCCATCCTGTCTGGAACCTGAAAGCTGGCTGGGTGACCTGCTCTGTCCAGCCCACCTTGTCAGGTTGTTGTGATGGGGAAAATAGAAGGAGGAAGGAATATTAAGCATTTTTGCTACCTTGAATTACTTCTAAAATAATAAAGGTGGGATAAACGTGTCATAAACGGATAACGGACCTGGAGGAACATTGTCCATGGGGTCGCGATGGGTCAGACGTGACTTCGCAATTAACAACAACAAAACGGATAATACACGTGTGATAAAGGTATAATAAATAATAAACTCCAATGGACTCTTACAACAGCCCTGCCAGCTAAGGGAGAATGCCATTCCCCACCTTGCCCACTGAGTCCCAGGGTAGTATCTCCGGAATAGCCTTGGATCTCCTGCTTGTGCAGAGGGCTGGACTAGAAGACCTCCAAGGTCCCTTCCTTCCGATCCCATTCTTCCATTATAGTTGAAATGCTCAGCCCAACATGGCGGCTGGAGGCTCTCAGAAGCTTTGATACCGCCGGTTGAGGTGACCTGCCCCCCGTGGCCCCTCCCTGGGAAATAACAGCAGCCAGCCCGCCCCCCCCCGGAAGGCCCCCGCCTTGGAAGAGAGCTCAGCCTTACCTGGATGCTGACCTCCTCCTTGCATTGCCTCACGCTGTCCCTGCGAAGCACCTCCACTTTGGGCACCACCTGTGGGAGACGCACGGGGGGGGGCGATGAGAGGGGCCTGGGTGCTGTAATGGGGGGTGGGGGACGGAGGCTCACCTTCAGCGCAAAGACCTTCGCCTGAGAGCAGTCCAGGACTTTGAGGACGGTCCCAAAGGTGCCCTTGGCCAGGAAGCCCAGAATCTGGCAAGAGAGAGAGAGAGAGAGGAGGGGGCAAAGGGGTCACAGAGCAGCCCCCCCACCCCTACCCCACAAGACCCCTCCCCATCTCCTGAGGCAGCAGCCCAGCACTCACCTTGAGTTGCTGCTCCTGCAACGGGGGCTGGACAGGAAACTCGGGCAGGAAGAGCGAGGCGTGGGGGGCCGTGGGCCACTCGACACCCCCTGTATCCGGGGCTTTCTGGTCCCCCTGTGTCCGCTCCAGTTTCGCCGGGCTTCGGGCTGCCAAGGCCTGCTCCAGACCCAAGAGGGTCCCACCCAGGTGGGAGAGGAGGCGTTTCCAGCTTCGCACCCACAAAGCGTCGGGCAAGGCGTCCGTGCCGTGGCCCTGCGGGGGGGGGGGGAACAGCGGTGTCTGATGGACTCTGCCTGACGCGGGACCCCCAACAAGGCTGAACAGGACAGAAAAAACCTCCAACAAACCGCCCCCCCCATCCTGCTCCTGTCCATCTTTTAACTGGCCATCATGTTTTGGATTTTGTATTAAGTTACTGTATGTTTTTAATTTATATAGTTTTACTTTTTTATGATTGTAAAATGCTGAGATTTACCTTGAAATAAGATGTGCAGCCTATAAATTGTCTAAACAACAACAAGAGGCAGAGCGATCCAGGAGCATCTGAAATCAGACCGGTCGAGGGCAAAATGCGTCCCAAACGGGAGCAAGGACCTCAGACAGAAGCCCACTCCTCTTTTTTTTTATTTTGAATACTTCTCCGGAGTCCATCTTGTGTGCGTCCAGCACTTCTTGATGTGGGCTGGGTTTGTTGCAGGGAATCATAAAAGTCCCTAGAGGTCATCCAGTCCAACCCCGTTCCACCTGCAGGTGTCACAAGACCAACCGGCCCGGCCTTGATGGCCTGAATCACTGAGGCACAAATAGGTAGGAACTGGATGGGGGAAGCAGTCGGGGACCCCCAAGCGCAGTGGTTCTCAACCTGTGGGTCGGGACCCCATTTGGGGTCGAACGGCCATTTCACGGGGGTCGCCAAACAACGCAGTCCGCCATTTTTCCCCCCCCTTTTCCTTAGCTGTGCTACTCTCTTTTATTCTATTGCCTTTTGAAAGCCAATAGAATAAACTCTCTTGAATAGAGTCTAATTCTATTGGCTTTCCAAAGCCAATAGGAATTGTCCAGGCTGCCTCTGCCCTGCTGAGCCCGCCAAAAGTCCCATTCTACAAACGGTTGCTGCACCAGTTGAGTAGTCCTCGACTTACGACCGGTTGAGTAGTCCTCGACTTACGACCGGTTGGGGGTCGCGGCATTAAAAAGGTTGAGAACCACTGCCCAAGCGGGACCTCCAATGCCTGAAGCAGCCTGTTCTCTCCCTCCAGCTCCTCTTATTGCGTGATGAGGGATCAGTGCTTCTCTTTGTGCGTTTGTGCATGGCAAGGGTCTCCAACATGTGGCCTTTAACTCCCAGAAGTCCCCAGCCAGCACAGAATAAGGGCTTCAGCAGAGCTTCACAGGTGAACCGAGGGGTCTTTGGGGGCCCCCGGGGATCGTACGCTTCTTCTGCAAAGGGGTCCACCTCACGGAGTGGTGTGCGAGTGTGTTCCCCACCTACACAAGTTGTGCCTCTGACGTTCCAGAGCTGGGGAGAGCAGCATGTAGGAAAAGCGGGTCACCCCTGCCTCAATTGAGGAGGGGGCTCCAAGGAAGTGAGAGAGGCTCACACCCAACTTTTACACTTCGGGGTCCTTTCTCTTTTTGCCTCCCTCAACACTCCAGGACCTGCTGCAACCCGACTCGGGTCATTCAGTGCCCCTAAAGCCAGGGGGCAAAAGAGGGCGGGGAGGGGGGTGTCCAGGCCTCCCTTAAACCCCCTTTGCCCGCTGCGCCACCTTTAATGGCACGGAAGGAGAGGGCAGCAGAAATAGTTCCACGAATGCCATTTCATGCCCTGTTTTCCCTTCCCAGCCAGGCACAAAGCACTGCCAAACTGCCTCCCTCGCAGGGCTGTCGTGAGGATGAAAGGGAGGGAGAAGCCTGGAAAGGAAGCAGAGAAGACCAGCCGCCCAGCAGGGAGGGTCCAGGCCGGTCCAGGGAGAAGCAGCCAAGCACACCAAGCCGGTGGGGCGCAGAGGCCGCTCGCTGCGTGGGATCCAAAGGCAGAGCCGGTTTTCGGGGTAGCGCAAAATCGGAGGAGCGACGGAGCGCCCTGAATCGGCTTGCTCTGTGCAAAGCCGGGGGGGGGGGGACTACAATTCCCATCCTCTTCCCAGCCGCCCAGGGTAAGGAGATCCCCTCTCGCCGGCACCCCGGGACCGAAGAAGCAGCCCAGGCGCCCGCCCGCCCGCCCGAGGGTCTTTCTGGAAAGCCCCCCGAAGGCCAGGAGGGGCGCAGCGCTAGGCAGGCGCCCCTTCCCCTGAACGCCCCCCGAGCCCGGCCGGGTCCCCTTCCCAGCTGGGCCGCCTCTGGCAGAGGGAAGCCCCCCACCCTCTTCATCCGGGGGGGGGGGAAAGAGCGAGCGAGCCCTCCGGAGACCCCCGGCCGCGGGCCCGGAGACCCCCCCTTGCGGGGTTCCCCCTCCCCTCCCCGCCGCCCGGGACCCCCCTCCCCACGGCTTCCTCGGCGACCCCCCCTCCCCATCTGGAGGGGCGGGCGGCGCTCTGCACGTGCTCGGCTGGCCGCACGGACGCCCTTACCCGCAACTTATGGGGGAAACCCCGGCCGGCCGGCTCCCCGCCTGGGTTGCTGCCCGCGGCTCCCATGGCGGCTGCGGCCGGTGGGCGCCCTCGGAGGAGAGGAGGCCCCGCGGTAATCCCGCTTACGTAAAGCCCCGCGCGGCTAATCCCCCGCCGGCAGCCCCCGGACCACGCCCTTTATGCAAAACCCAGAAAGCCGGCCCCGCCCCGTCGGCGAGGAAGCCCCGCCCCTGCTGGACATTCAACATTCCCGCGCTGGGAAAATCCACCCAGGGGGCGTGGCTCGCGCCGGATTGGCTGCCAGCAGCCAAGCCACACCCCCTCCTGCCTAAGACACCGGGCCCGCCCCGCCCTGCCCCGCCTCTCCATCCCAGCAAGCGCCCGCGGTCGCCTGGACTACAATAGCTTTGGAATGGCTTTGGCCGGGGCTGATGGGACCTGCAGTGCCACATCTGGATGCCTTGGCTGGAGCGTTGCGAAGGCACCTCCAGTAGGAAAGTTGCAAGCCTCATCCAGGCAGCGCCCGGGGGCCTTTCTGCAAAGAGGGAAACTGCCAGTGAAGGAGAATCTTTGCAGCTCAGGGTTGAAATGAGGGTCCCGGGTGCTCTCTGAGCTGGGGGGGGGGTTCCTTGTAGACGTTTCATGGCCCTACTAGGGAACGTCATCAGTGCTAGAAGGGGACAGAGGGAGGACGACTGTAGGGTCCTGGGTGCTCTCTGAGCTGGGCACTTTCCTTGCAGACGTTTCATGGCCCAACTAGGGAACATCATCAGTGCTAGAAGGAGGAGTTGTAGAAACGGAGGAAGAAGATCACTATGGGGTCCTTGGTGCTCTCTGACCTGGGCGGTTTCCTTGGAGACGTTTAATGGCCCAACTAGGGAACATCATCAGTGCTAAAAGGGAGAGGAGGAGGAGGAAGAGGAAGGAGGAGGAGAAAGGAGGAAGAAAGAAAGAGGAAGGAGGAAGAAAAAAAGAGGAAGAGGGGGGAAAGGAACCCCCCAAAGCCTGGGGGGGTGTGGGGTGGGGGGGTCAGAGAGGGCCCCTGAAGAGCCCAGCCTCCATTAAGTGAACCCGCTTGAGCCAGGCTTTTGGGGTCCCCCGCAAGGACCCATCTGCACAGCTGGGCTCGTCCGTCGGTTCTCCCAGCAGGCCGAGTGAAGAAGACGGAAGCGCGAAGCCCCTTCCTGGCCGAGGGCCCCCTTCACCCCCGAGGGGGCCACAAAGCAGGCAGCAGTAGTTCCTTTGCTTTTATGCAGGCAGTCCTCACTTTACGACCACAAGTGGGCCCCAAATTAATATCCTTAAGTGAAACATCTGTTAGGTGAGTTTTGCCCCATTTTACGACCTTCCTTGCCAGCTGTTAAATGACTCGCGGCAGTTGTTAAATTAGCCACATGGCCGCTAAGTGAACCTGGCTTGATTTTGCTCGTCAGGACGTCACAAAAAGGGATCACGTGACACACACACATACACACACACACGCTGGACACTGCGATCATCGTAACTAGGAACCAGTTGCCAAGAGTCCAAATTTTGACCACCTGACCTGGGGAGGCTTCAGCGGTCGTAAGCGTGAGAAAGGGTCACAGGTCACCTTTTTCAGCGACCTTGTAATTTTGAACGGTCACTAAGCGAACAGTCGTAAGTCCCGGACTGCCTGGACTCCAGGCGCCTATTTTGGGGCACCCAGCAGAATCTTCCGCCCTGTGGCAGCAGCCGTGTGTGTGGGGGGGGGGTCTGGCTGAAGGGCCCAGAAGCCCCCCCAGGGCTCCCCACAGCTGCAGGAGGGTGAGCCAGTCCCGGGAGGTGGTGTGAGGGGGGGTGTGCGAGGGGGGGTGAGGTGGGGAGGGGGAGGACGGCAATCACCACAAGAGACGGGGGCTCCAAATGATAAACTCTGTTATTTAAACTCTCCCCCCTTCCCCTCCGAGCGAGGCGGGGCAGCCGGGCCTTCCGAGGGGGGCCGGCCGGGCACCCCTCCTGCTCCCGGAGGCCTGGTCCCCTCCGTGTCTGGGGCCCTCGGGCCCCCCGTCTCAGTCCAGCGCCCGGGGGCCGGGCTCCCTGGGCCCAGCGGCCTCACTTGCGCCGGCTGAAGAGGGACTTCTTGCCCGGGTTCTTCTCGCCCACGCTCAGCCCGATCAGCAGCCGGGCCTTCTCGTCCTCCTCCTGCTGCTGGACCGGCCCCTCCAGCTTGCTCTCCGGCCTCGCCCGCGACTCCGTGCCTGCAGCCGGCTTCAGACGCAGCTTCTCTTTGATGACCTGGTGGGGAGGGAGGGAGGGAGGGAGGGAGGGAAGGAGGGGGAGGGAGGGAAGAAGGGAGGGAGGAAGGAAAGAGGGAGAGGGAGGAAGGAAGGAAGGAGGGAGAAGGAGGAGGGAGAGAGGGAGGGAAGGAGGGAGGAGCGAGGGAGGGAGGGAAGAGGGAGAGGGAGGAAAGAAGGGAAGAGGGAGGGAGAGCGGGGAGGGAGGGAGGAGAGGGGAGGCGGAGGGGAGGAGGAAGGAAGGAGGGGAGAAGGAAGGAGGGAGGGAGAGAGGGAGGAGGAGCGAGGGAGGGAGGGAAGAGGGAGAGGGAGGAAGGAAGGAGGGAGGGAGAAGGAAGGAGGGAGGGAAGGAGGGAGGGAGGAGCAAGGTCGGGAGGAGGAAGGAAGGAAGGAGGAGGAGAAGGAAGGAGGGAGGGAGAGAGGGAGGGAAGGAGGGAGGAGGGAGGATGGAGGGAGGGGAAGGAGGGAGGGAGAGGCGGAGGGAGGGAGGGAGAAGGAAGGAAGGAGGGAAGAAAGAAGAAAGGAAGGAGGGGGAGGGAGGAAGAGAGGAAGGGAGGAAGGAGGGAGAAGGAAGGGAGAGAGGGAGGGAAGGAAGGAGGGAGAGGGAGGGAGGAAGGGAAGAAGGAAGGAAGGAAGGAAGGAAGGAGGGGGAGGGAGAAGGAAGGAGGGAGGGAGAGGGAAGGAAGGAGGGAGGGGGGAGGGAGGAATTGAGGAAGGAAGGAAGGAAGGAAGGAGGGAGAAGAAGGAGGGAGGAAGGAAGAGGAGGAAGGAAGGGGAGGGAGGGAGACAGAAATGGGAGGGAGGAGGAGGAGAAGGAGGGAAGGGAGGGAGGGAAGGAAGAATGGAGTTGAGCCCCAGGTGTCAGCCTTTCACCCACTTTCTCCCCACCCCAGGTAATGCATCTCCCATAATCCCCAGCCCAGCGAGGCCTTTCGGCTACCAGAGCTGGCATTCAGACCGCCATCCCTGCAAAGCTTGCCAGCTGCTGGGGGTGGCCGTGCCAGGGAGTGCTTCTCCATGCCCGGCCTGGAGGATGGGCTTGGTGGTCCCTCCAGCCTCCCCTGCCCTGAGCCCCCTCCGCCCCCCCTTACCTGGGCCACCAGGGCCTTGCGGCTGTCCCGCTTCACCGCCATCGCAAAGTCCAGCCACGTCCAGGTATTGTTGTGGTACTCCAGACAGGGCAGCACCAGGTTGAGCTCCCCCCAGTCCACACTGTTCTTCTCTCCCTGCAACAATGGGGGGGGGAGATACAGAAATCAGAAGCCCCCCCTTTTCCAGCAGCCCCCACCCCAACCACAGTCGTTTTCCAATGAAAGCAGTCCTGTGGAACTCACTGCCACAAGAAGGGGTGAGGGAAGAGGACCCCGATGGCCCAACGCCACACCGGGGCCCTTGAACAAGCAGACCCCCGACTGCCCCCCCCCACGAACCTTGTAGCTGACGCAGAGGGGCACCTGGGGGATCTTGATGTAGATGAAGGAGTTGTTCATGGCCGCCCGCTCCTTCATCTTGTCAATGTCGTCCACCGGGTACTGGGGGCAGAAGGGGGGACGGCGGCCATTACAGCCAGCCCGGCACCTCTGCCAGGCTCCCCCCACCCCCCACGGCGCATAGAGGGACTCCAGGGGCTCCCCGCGTTTCCTCAGGGGGACCTGGCAAGGCTGATACTGGAGGGAGACCCCAAGCCAGGCTGTGACCCCACAGTCCAGGGGTAGGAATTCCTGAGCCAGCATGGGGGAACTATAGTCCCCTTCATGATTCGTGGACTTCAACTCCCAGAATTCCTGAGCCAGCATGGGGGAACTATGGCCCCTTTTATGACTCGTGGACTTCAACTCCCAGAATTCCTGAGCCAGTATGGGGGAACTATGGCCCCCTTCATGACTGATGGACTTCAACTCCCAGAATTCCTGAGCCAGCATGGGGGAACTATGGCCCCCTTCATGACTGATGGACTTCAACTCCCAGAATTCCTGAGCCAGCCACACTGAGGGGAAAGGGAGAGGTTTCCAAGCTGAGCCAGGCTAGCTCAGGAATTCTGGGAGTTGAAGTCCACGAGTCATAAAAGAGCCAAGGTTGCCTACCCCTGCCTTAGACCATGATGTAGGCAGTCCTCGACTTATGACGGTTTGTTTAGTGACCATCCCGTTACAACGGCACTGAAAAAAGTGACTTAGGACTGTTTTTCACAGTTACGACCATTACATCGGCCTCACGATCGTGTGATCAAAATTCAGCCGCTTGGCCACTGACTCACATTTGTGACGGTCGCAGTGTTCTGGGGCGGGGGGAGGTCGCGTGATCCCCTTTTGCGACCTTCTGACAGTCAATGGGGAGGCCAGATTCGCTTAGCGACCGTGTGGCTAACTTGGCAACTACGGTGATTCACTTAACAACGGTGGCAGGGAAGGTCGTAAAAGGGGGACAAAATTCACTTAACAACTGTCTCTCTTAGCCACAGAAATTCTGGGCTCATTTGTGGTCGTAAGTGGAAGGCTACTCTTATAGTAGTGACTTTTGGAACGACTGAACGAGCAAACGGACAGGACGGACAGAGCAGCCTCCTCAGATCTGCGCGAAGGGCAGCCTTGTCCGAGAAATCACCCCTTGCCAGGCTCAACCCGGTTCTTTCTCCCGCCCCCCTCTGGACGTCTCCGTGGGAAGCACGCCTTGCATGGCGGCCCTCCCAACACCCCTGCGAGGTAGGATGGGCTGGAGAACGACTGCCCAAAGCCGCCCATGAACATCCATGGCTGAGGGGCCACCTCAGCTCCCACCCCCTTCCCTCTTACCCAGCGGCCTCCACGTGCCCCTCCCTTGGGGGCACTTTCCGAGGGGCTCCAGGAGAAGGCGAGGACAGCGATGGACTCTGAGGAAGCAAGACCCTGCCCCCCCTCACTCCCCCCCCGAACACAAAGTCCTCTGGGGTGCTTTGC